GTGCCAGTGTTTCCAGTCACTTAGAGAGTGCTTCCTGGGAAAATAGCGCTTGGTAAGCCAGGGAAAGCACTGAAGTACGAGGGGCCCCTCAGGCTCCGCGGGGACCTTCTTCGTGTGAGGTTGAGCCTCAGCGGTCAGTGGGGCCGCCTTTCTGAAAGCCGAGCATTGGTGAGACCTGCACAGGCCCCTCTCCCCACCAAAGACGAAGACAGAGCGGGTCTCCTGTCAGATTCTCAAGCAACGCCTCCCTCCCCAGAATCGCTGGTACGAATGGCAGCGTGGAGGCCGCTGCAGTGTTCCGGGACTCCCCCCTCACCGCGTCAGCCCTGTTAAGCGCCCTTAATGGGAAGTACTGTGAAAAGCAATTTTGTAGTGAAGCAAGGACAGTAATTAATACTCCCTGTCATTGTCTGGGCACCTGCTGTGGCTCCATGTTTATGTTAATTCATTCTCATTTAATCTTCTCACTTAGTAGATGGGGAGACAGGCTTGGAACGGGGAAGGAGTGTGCTCAAGGTCAGGCTGCTGGTCCCGGCGGTGCTGGTCCAGACCCAGGCCGGCTGCTGTTCCCAGCTGCTTCACCCACAGGCTGCGCGCACAGTGCCGCGCTGTCTCGGACGTTGGTTTGTGTCCCGTCTTTTCAGAGGTGCCACGCTTGATTCCATACCCGCCTCCAGAACCCTCAGTGGTGACTTTAAAAGGCTGACCTTGCCGCGCATACAGCCGAGTCAGAGACGTAGGCCCCGGTTGTGACTGGTGTCCCCTCTCCTTCTAGCTGCAAGAGCTTTCCCAGCAGCCAGGGGCTTCTCCTGGCCAGACTGCCAGCAGGACCGGCCGCCTTTCAGCTCTGTCCAGCTCTGGCTAGCGGGGACAGCCCTCTTGTCATGCTACCAGGAATATGTTCCCATCACCTGAGAGCCTTGGTCTTTTCTTTGTTCTCTTAAAGCAAATGTCTGTTGAGGTAGGTTTTCTTCCTTTTTTAACTGGCCAATGATGCACTTAGTTCAGGACTTGGATGCCCTTGTCCTCTGCCTTTAGCACTGCTTGGATCCTGCATGGGCTGTAGACCCTGCCGCAGGGCATGGAGCAGGCTCGCCGCCCCTCACAGCTTACGTCCTGGCTCTGCACCACATCCAGCTCTCCTGCCACCCTCCTTGTCCCCCAGCTCTAGTCAGATCGTTGTTGAGACCTTAAAATCTAGAGCAAACAACTTTGAGCGTCACTCTCTGCTGAAAGCGCGCCTGCTAAGCCGTGAGTGAGCCGGCTCCCGAGTGCCGTCAGGAGGCCCCGCCCCCGTGGCCTGGGTCGCCCTGCCCTCAGGGCTCCCGTGGCAGGTGGCTCCCGTTCTCGTGGCGGTTTTCACAGTCTGCCCTGGGTCCCTGGCCTCTGCTGGCACCTTACGTGCTCCTACGAGAGTGAGCCCTGCAGGCTGGGTCCCAGGGTCCCCTGACGCCCTGGGCCCGTGTGGCCCCCGCCCAGACGCGGCTCTTCCCATCTTCTCGCGGCTAAGTTTGTTCTGCTCATGCCTCTGTGGAGCTGAGGTCCTGCTCAGTTGCTCTTGCCTCCTGCGTTTCCCTGACCCTTTGCCGGGTTCCCAGACGGCCCCCCACAACCCAGCCCCCTGTTAGGTGCGGCGTGATTTGTTGGCTGCTGTCTCACCGGTGCTGGTCTTCTCTTCCAGCAGGATCCGCGCCGAACTGCTCAGGGCAGGGACTTGACCTCCTGTGCTTCTCAGTTAGTGCCTTGCGAACTTTTGTGACATGACAACCCCCCCTTCCCCCAACCCTGGTAGACAGTCTGAGACTCGATGCACAGGTGAAACCAGGTATACAACGGGAACAAACTGGCCTTGCTACATGCACTCTGATGCTTTTATTGTTTGGTTTTTTTTAACGCTGGCAGGACCACTTAAACTGGCGACTAGAACTTTGAAGAACCCTGTTCTAAATTCCTTCTTGAACAGGGCACTGGAATCCCGTGCCGTCGTTTGAACGGCGGTTTATATTGACAAGCCTGCAGGGCTTCTGCTCAGCACAACAGTGAAGGGCATTGCCACATGGTTTAAACCAGGAGGCTTCAAACTCAGTCCCATAAGGACCCCGAGCAGAGACCAGCTGTCTACTCGGCAATAACGAGTCAGACCGGGGTGCCCCCGCCCCCCCCCGCCGCCGCCTGGCACCAGAGAGGGCACTCAGACAGCGGACAGCTGTGACGCACGTCCTCCCAACATCGCGGGCGTCTCCCAGTGGCCCCCATTTTGCAAATGGGGAAGCCGAGGCCCAGCCAGAAGCAAGATGAGTTGCCTGAAGTCAGAGCCAGGACTGAGAGCCAAGACTTTTGCTTCCAAAGCCCTAGCTCTTGCCACATCGCGCGCTGACCCCGGTGTCTCTGCAGACTACTCTGCCTCTGTTCCCCAACTCCCCTCGAGGACCCTTGGAGTGAACAGTCCTCTTTCTTGTTTCTGAAGTTGGTTTGTCTGGGTTGGAAAATGAGCTCGCCGTTGGCCCCTAGGCAGCCGTGGGGGAGCTGGATTTGGAGCAGGATCTGCAGCAGCTTCCGGTGCCATTCACACTCTGAAATGCTGCTTCGAACTTTGAAAAGGGTTGCCCTGGGGTTTCAAGTACAGGCAGGCCAGGCGAGGCCACATCTCTTTCTTTAAATCATATAATGCCCTGTGATTAAAATGTAAGCGTGTGCACTGAATTCAGTAGTACAGGTTTCTGTCGTAGTTGAAAAGCTTTTTTAGGCTGAATGTGAATGATTAAATTACTCCTGGATCATGTCTGAGAGTGGCTGCGTGAGTTTTGGAGAGGCGGTCCTCTGAGAAGGTGGCCACAGAGCCTGGTGCTCGGCCTCTGATCCCGGTTCCCCAGCGGGGCGAGCCGCGGCCGTCTCTGGGCCTTCCCAGCTGTGACAGGGGCAGGACGCAGCCCCTCCCTGAGAGGGCGGGGAGGGGGGTGCTAACTCGGTGTGTCTGAAGCCCTTGACAGTTGTCATTGCTACCGCTTGTTTGTACCAGAGCTTCTGAGCTCCAACCGAAGACAATTCATGGTGTTGGTGGTGAGTCAGGCCTTTAATTCATTTTCCTGCTCCTTTTCCTAAGTGTTCTGTTTGCAGACCTCGCAGGGCCCCTGATCGGGGCCTGACCCCAGAGCATCTTTTCTGCCCCTTACAGCTGTCAGGTCCGAGGGGAAGGAGGGCGTGGCCCCCAGCCACCAGGGTCCGTTCTCTGCGCCAGAGCCTGTGCTCGCAGCCACAGTGGCCTCTCTACGCCCTGGTCCTGCAGGCCGGCCCGCTGGCTGTGTCCTTGAGAGCAGTCAGCTGCCACACGTGTAAAATGGGCTGCCACTTGCCACGGAGCTTGTCATGAACATAAAGTGAGACAGTGACATGTGTAAAACGCAGAAGCATATGGAAATGGGCGTCCAGAATCTGGGATGCCTCACTGGTGCACGCACATCTTTGGGCTTGAAAACACTGTTCACTAGACCAGAGTTGGCCAGTGAGTGAGCAGCACCGTGTGGGGCACTCATTGCTGATCCTCATTAGAACGCGGCAGGCCTCAGGCTCCTCAGCACACAGCTTTGGGTGGGTTTCCTATAAAATTCAAGACTTCGACTTCTAGGCGCCAGGTTAGAAGCTTCCTGCTGACGGTGGTGTTGCAGCTGAGCGCCCGGCCACGGAGGTGCTCAGATGTTTGGCCCGCTGGAGATGGGCGTCTGCGGTCCCAGGTTTCGGTCGGTGGAGGCCATTGCAGCGTTTTAGTGGAGCCACGTTAGGTCGGGGCACGCAGTGTCAAGACGCCCAGACTCGCACATCCAGGTGCACAGAAACGGCCCCGCCTGCGCCGTGGCGCACTCCCTGGCGTCGCCCGCCTGCGTGGGGATCGTGTTTCCTCTCCTCTTGCGGGGGCCTCCATAGGCTTTTCTGGCTGAGAATGATTGCTTGCCGAACAACCTTACCAGTAGCACCCCTCTTGGCAGCTGGTGTCAATGGAATCCATTTAGCAGTTAATCCCTTTCCACTCGTGACACTGCTTCTGTTGTCACCCGGGATGGTCGTTTCAGCCTTAGGTTAACTACCCATCTGCCTGTCCCGTCCTCCCGGGGGGACCGCCTTGTCTCTAACGGGCAGTGAGACGGTGCAGGGGGCTCGGTTTAATCTGCAGGGGCTGAGGGCACGCACGCTCACGCCCGCAGTGTCAGAAGCGGGCCTCCGTGGCGCCGGCCTGCTTGGCTCCCCCGAGCCCTTCTGGCTGAGCGTTTGGAATGTGGGTCACCAGGTGCGATGGCGCCGCCGTGACCCGGTTGCAGAGGGGCTCTGTTACATTTCCAGAGCGTGGCACCGCCGTTTGTGGAACACTCACAGGGGTGGCTTCATACACGGATTTTCAATTTTCTGTTTTGATGTTTCTGGTTTAAGAAATAGAACAGCTTTTATCATGTTTATGCAAAAAATTTTAAACCATTCCTCATTTTAGAAAAGATTTAGAGGGCTAACAAACATACATGAAATGCCACGGGCTACCAGGATGAGGGTAGGGGATCGGCGGGGCGTGGGGTATGAGGCGGGGCCGGGCTCAGGTGAGTGCCCGCAGTGGCCCTTGGTCTGGCTCTGAGGTTCCCGGTGGCCGCTGTTAATAATCAGTTAAACTTGAGAGCATCCAGAAAACATAGCCCTACCCCAGGGGAAGCACAGGAGGCCTGGGGCGATGCCTGTGGCTGTCATAAAGGGGTAGCTGGGACAGCGAGGTCCTTGGTGACCTTCCCACCAACCTGGGGAGTCCACCGTCCTCGTATGTCAAGCGACGGCCTGCGCTGCAGGGCCGTACAGCCCCTTTCCCGGGCAGTTCTTCCTTTTGAATAGCAAGAGATCTTTCTGCCCCTCATCCTCAAACTCACCTTAAAAGAACTTAACAACAAAAAACTCTTGCTTTCAAAAGGGCTTCATCCTATCAGAGTTGGTCAGGCCTGGAGTTAACCCTGGGTCCTTTGTCCTAGGAATATGAAGACAAGGCTGGACGACCTAGCAGGCCACCCTCCCCGAAGCAGAATGTGAGGAAGAATCTTGACTTTGAGCCGCTCTCCACCACCGCACTCATCCTGGAGGACAGACCCGCGTGAGTCCTGCAGAGAGCCTGTAGCGCATGCTGCAATGGATGCGCACACCTTGCCCTGTGGTCGGTGTTTCATTGGGGGAGAGCGAGAGGCCCAGGAGGGAAGGAGAAGAGGAGGAAGCCATAGCACTCGTTAAAAATGCCTCTTTATTCCCTATTTTTCATTTTAATTTAGCACTTAAAAATACTTAAGTAGCTCTTAAAAATTATAGACTGGCTTGTGCCTGCACGCACACACTGGCAGTGTGCTGGAGGTCGGGTGCTTTGGCCACAGCCCAGCACTGCCGGGCGAGCAGCGCCTGGACTGGCCTGCTGGGCTGGTTGGGGCCCGCAGGAGCACGTGCTCTTAGCACGTCCCTCCTCTGGTATCTCCTGTTTGATGGACTTCACATTTCTGAAAGGGAGCTCACGTTTTATTTCTTAAATTGGATTTGTGTTTGCGCATCACATTCAGATGCTTAGAACTGTGATATACATTTGTGTATAAAAACAAAGCTGATGCTGACTGGCTGGTGCTGATGCTGACCGAAAAGTGATGGGTTCGATCCCGAATCTGGGCGTGTGCAGAAGGCAGCTGATTGATGTTTCTCTCTCCCTTCCTCTCTCTCCAAAATCAATATAAACATGTCCTTGGGCGAGGATTAAAAACAACCAAACAAAGAAAGCAGTGAACCACGTAGCTAATGTGACACTTGCACGCTTGCAGATTGGCCAGAAAATGTGTTCCTACACATACATAATATACGCTTTTAGGGTTCCCTCCTTCCCGGGTTGCTTTCAGCAGCTCTTAGTGCATTGCTGTCAAACCAAAGTTTCTTTGGAACCAGGTGAAAAAGCACTTAAAGTGTTTATCTCTATTGGAATTATGGGCAGTTGTTACTTTCTTCTTTCTACTGATTGTTATACTTCAAATATTTTCACAGAGAGCTTATTTTACTTTTGTAAGAAAATACTTTTAGATTATGAAAGAGCTGTGACTTTGTCATTTTGATGTATTTGAGCTTTTCAGTTTTTTTGTAAGTAATGCTTCAAGTTTTGTTTCTCAAAGAATTTTATTTGATATTCATAACGGTGAAAAATTATTTGTTTTCTATCAAGAAACCTCCCAGCGAAGCCGGCGGAGGAAGCTCAGAAACACAGGCAGCAGTATGAAGAGATGGTGGTGCAGGCCAAGAAGCGAGGTAAGGGAGTCACCACGCGTGCTGCTTACGTAAGGCAGCACAAGATGCTGCGTCTGTCAGAGTGTTTTCTCTTTCTCATCTGGAGCCCTAGAACCTGAACTGCATTGAATGCTTTTAGTGTTTCGAAATTTATAACTTTCCACCCAAAACGTATGCTTCTGTTAACCTCATTCCTGGTAGCCTTTACTCAAGGAAATAACACTTTGAATTTACACTGGAAAAGAGACCGTCCAGGGCGGCGGTTTTCATGCCGCGCGCTGCAGGAGCGTTGGCCCTGCGCAGCGTCTGTGAGGCGGGCAGGGACCGCTCTCCCGTCGGCGCTCGGGCGCAGAGCGGGCGGCAGCCGGCACGGCCGTGGCCGTCTGGTGTGACTGCATCCGCGTCATGCCCGTGTATTTGTGTACGGCAAAAAATACCTTTTTGGGTATGTCACAGAATTTTAGTGATTAGTTCATGTGTGCCACGAGATGAAAAAGGTTGAAGAGCACAGGTTTAGGGTAAAAACACTGGATTTGAGAAAGCCTCAGCCAGGAGCAATGATCAGGTCCCTCCTCCCTGCGCTCAGTTTTCCTTGTGTGTAAGAGGCGATGGGATTCGTAAAATCCCTTGCAACATCCTCTGGGTCTAGGATGTTTAAAAAGAATATGTGGTCAACATAATGTAGTCTGTTCATACGCTGGAATGTTCCTCGGCCTGAAAAGGTAAGGAAACCCTCACCCTGGCTGGTGCAGCCTGAGCGCTGGCCGATGAACTGAAAGGTCGTCAGTTCACTCCCCAGTCAGGGCACAGGCCTGGGCTGCGGTGGGAATTGTGCAAGAGGCAGCCGACCAATGTGTCTCTCCCACATTGGCATTTCTCTCCCTTTCTTTCTCCCTCCCTTCTCCTGTCTCTAAAAATAAATAAGTAAAATCTTTATTTAAAAAAAAGTAAGGAAATCGTGGCCCATGCCTCCGCCTGGGTAAACCTTGAAGATGCTCTCTGTTCAGTGAAATAAACCGGTCAGGAAGGACAAACAGGAACAGCGTGTGACTTCGCTTCCCTGGGACCCTGAGAGCAGTCAGAATCATAGGGACAGGGGGTAGGATGGGGGTCACCAGGGGCCAGGGGAGGGGGGGTCGCGTTCAGTGGGTGCGGTTTCGTTTTGGGAAGATGGGCGCATTCTGGGGGTGATGTCGGCGATGGTTGTGTGACAACACGAGTGTGCTTAATGCCGCTGACGGCGCACGTAAAACGGTTAAAATGGCCCGTTTTGTTTTGTGTATTTCACTACACTAAAATACAAAAAAGTATATGTACAGTGAACGTGCGGTGTTTCTCAGAGTTGCTGTCATGCACTGAGAGTTACGCTCACACTGCAAGGAGTGAGGCCACAGCTCGCACTGGGCAGGGGCCTGGGCGGGCGCACACGAGGGGCTTCTGGGGTCTGGTAACGCTGTTCTCTGACTGAGATGGTAGATGCGCAGGTTTGTCTACTGGATGATGATTGATCGTGTTTTATTTGTGTAGCTTTCAGTAGGAATGACCTGCTGTGAAAGCTTGCTCAGAGACAGACAGCACCTGAGTGTCCCAAAGTCCGCACGGTAGAAGCGCGTCCCGGGAGGGCCCCCACGCCCTCCATCGGCGCCCTTCTGGGGTTTGTGCCACATGCCTCTGAGAGGAGCCACCTCACTCGAAAACGGTGGAGACCCGTTAACGGATGTTTTCTTCCTCTTTTCCGTTGTGATTTCCAGAGCTGAAAGAAGCCCAGCGGAGGAAGAAGCAGCTGGAAGAAAGGTGCCGGCTAGAGGAGAGCATCGGGAACGCTGTCCTCACCTGGAACAATGAGATTCTGCCCCACTGGGAGACCGTGTGAGCCTTGCAGAGCGGGCGCCGCTGGCCCAGACGTTTGTCTCTAGGGGCCCTAGGTGGCGGCGGGGCTGCTTGTGGGTCATCGCGCCGCCTCTGATGAAGCGACCTAGGGTCAGCTCCCCGGCCGTGGCTCAGCTGCACCATCCCTGGATCCCGCAAACGCTCCCCCTGCCTCTTGCAGCTCACCTCCTGCCCAGCAGCCAGAGCGGTCTCACGCCCAGGCCTGTGCTGTTTAGAGCCGGAATGCCTTACCTCCTCTGAGCCTCCCCTGCTCCCTCGCTGTCCCCCCAGGGCGCCCTCTCGGTGGGAGCTGAGGGTCTCTGCACGTGCGTCCGCCGCCTGCAGCGCCCTGGCCCTGTGGCTCCACAGCTGGCTCGTTCTTTAGAGCTCGGTCTTTGTGGGGAGGACCTCCTACCCTGGCGGCTGGAGGGGACGCCCCTGGCTAGGCTGCTTCTGTCGTCCTCTCTCTCAGAGGACAGTCCCCCGTGGCCGGTGCCCAGCAGGGCCTGGCAGCTGCTGTCATCTTGACATCAGAGGGACAGCTGTAGGTCGTTTCTCCCTGTGGTTCAGGACGCGCAGGGCAGGGTGTGGACAGCAGGTGCCGCCGGGAGCGCAGGTGCCAGTCTCCTTTCTGGGCTTGTCCTTTTCAACCTGACCCACCTGTCAGGCTGTGGGGACCTCCCTCCTGGCACTTAGCTGAGTGTCCCTCAGTCTCATTCCAGGGCTCAGATGGCCCCGTTGAGGGTGTCCACTGGGGAGGCCGGCATTCCCCGGAGCCTGCTTTTCTAGGCAGTGCCTTTCCTGACCAGGCTGGGCATGTCAGGAGCCTCTCCGTTCCCTCAAATGGGGCCCAGTGACGACAGTTGAGGTCCTCAGAGGCCTTGGGCCACCTCCCTGTGTGGCTGCAGACCCCGCCCCGCCCCTCCTGCCCCGATGGCACTCCGTGTGGCCCGGATGCCGCACCCGTCAGCGGCTTCCACGTAGCGCACCAGCTGGGTGCCAGGCACAGCGCCTCTGTTGCTGGGCACTCTCTGGTGACCACAACAGCCCTCCAGGGGGCTTTCCTCAGCTTGAGCCCAGAGAGGAGGAGGCCTTCTCAGGGTTCCAGGGAAGCCTGGAGTTGGGGTGCAGGCCTGGCCCGCCACCTCCGCCACTGGGGCCCCGTCAGCGGGCAGGGCAAGTCCCTGTGCGCAGCAGGCCTCCACAGCTTTGAGCAGCTGAGCGCCCCGAGTTCGCAGAGGTCGCTGCACCAGTAGAGCTGGGCAGCTGTCCCCAAGCGCTCCCCCGTGCAGGAGGGGGCGCGGAGGCTGCCCTGCGCCTGCACCTGCAGCTCCGCGGCAGGGCCCCCGACCCCCAACAGCTGTCAGCAGCTCTTGCAGCAGCGGGTGGGTTCCTGTGGGTGCACTTTCTGCTCTGGACGTCCTGCCCTTCCTTGACATGCTTAGACCACTGCCTGCTGCTGAGGATTTGGCTCCAGAACGGAGCCCTGAGCTCCTCGGGCTGGTGGCACCCTCCCTGCCTGTGCAGTGTCCTTGACGTGCCTGTTGCTGTAGGCACCCCGTGGCGATAGTCGTCGATCTACCGGTCTCCGGGACGCAGGAGCATCGGCCCGCTGTGCCGTGCACTCCTGCTGCCGTGGCTGGGGGCCGGGTACGTGGCCGACGCGTCCTCAGGGAGAGCCGGCTGCTGACCTCGCGCTCCCTCTGTGTGCAGGTGCTGCTCTAGAAAAGTGCGGGACCTGTGGTGGCAGGGCATCCCTCCCAGCGTGAGGGGCAGAGTCTGGAGCCTGGCCATCGGCAACGAGCTAAACATCACCCACGGTGAGTGCCCGCGTGGTCGCGTGGTCGCAGGCGTGGGGACCGCCCCCAGGGTCCCGGGGCGTCTCCGCTCCTGTCTGCCCTGGTGGGAAGAAAGGGAAGCGCCGTTGGGCAGCTGCGACTCCTGTGAGGCCAGGCCGGGAGACTGTGCCCTCCCAGAGCAGGAGGCTGTGGGCGGGCCTGGGCTCACTCCCAGCACCTCAGGTGCCTGGGGACCCAGAGGTGGCCGGCCTTCTTCCTGACCCCTTCCAGCTTCACTTGAAGAGCTGGCAGCACCTGGGGGTGTGATGTCAGGGCTGTAGCGCCAGTGGGCGGAGCTTCGTTAGGACCCCTTCTCTGGCCCCATGGAAAGCAAACCTTGGTCAGGACGTGAAGGGGAAGGGAGCAGAGGTGCGGGGCATGGTCGCGGCCCTGTTGTTTTTTGTGACATTTTTTTCCAGGCAGCTTCTGTATAAGCACCTCTGGGGCAGGGGGGCAGCAGTCTACACTGGGCTGGGGGCTTGAGGTCCTAGGGACTAAAGTGTCGACCGGGAGGTGAGATCGGACCGGCTCCCCTCGGGCTGTTGGGCTCCCTTGCGGCCTGCGTTCCCTCAGTCTGCGCGTGCCCGCCCTCCACCCCCGCCCGCCCTGCGCCCAGCACTGCGTCCCGGCGAAATCCGGGCCAGCAGCTCCCCAACTTGGGATTAAGTGCTTACTAACGGGTAGTCTTTGCTTTTCCCTTTTTCCTCCCTGTCTGCAGGGGACAGGAGCGCCTTCCTCATCTTCTTTATGTTGTTTGCACCCAGTTAAGTGCTTGTGGAGGTGATGGCAGCAGTTGAAGGCCTTGATTTTAAAATAGATTGATTTGTATATTTTCTGTGTACCTGGGTTCATGCCATTACGGTTTTGCCTGGTGAGACCTTCGTCCGCCCGGTGACTGCCGCCTGGCCCGCCAGGGCTCTCCGTCTGGAGCCACCGCCGCTCGCTGGGCGGGCCACGTCGGGCTCCTGCTGAGCGACCCCCTCTCAGTTCCGTGTGTGGCTGACCCGTGCCTGCCGGAGACTGAGCATAGTCACTTGAGAAGAAGTATAACATTTAACTTGGGTTATACTCTTAAACTACATTTAAGACACATAGTTTTTAAAAAGCATACCCAAAAGTAGAGGTTTGGAGAAAATGTGGATCAGTTATTCCAGTCCTCGTTCTTGAAAGTTTCCTAAACGATCAACAGCTCTGTCAAACGAAGCCAGCTGAACAGCGTGCAGGGTAGTGTGTGTGTGTGTGTGTGTGCGCGCGTGCACGTAATTGTGGGCTCTGACTGATGCCTGGGTTGGTTTTATTTAAATTAAAATCTTCTGTGGACTATATCATTGATAGATTAGGCTAAATAGCTAATTAGCCAATTCCAGGTAATCAATTACACATCTTGAAAGTTTGTCTAACTCCTCCTCTTGGCTCATGCTGTATAAACGGCGTCGTCTTGCAGGATTAGCTGCCGACGGCCCCTTGCCACCACTGTTACTGGCACTTGGGACGCTGGGCTGCCCCTGCCATGCTCTCCGCTCTGTCCCTGGGCCCCGCGAGGCTGTCTGCACACGGCAGGCCCTCCAGGAGGGTTTGTTGAGTGACGAATGTATGAACGAATGGATGGATGGATGCCACCTTATTAGGTCCTTCTCAGCCTCAGTTTCGCTGCGCATTGATGAGCCAGGATGAGGACACAGGTGATTGTGAAGTCCAGATGCTGAGGCCAGGCACTGTGTTAGGATCTTCACCTGCTTGTCTTATTTAACAAGGGTGACTGGTACTGCGACCTCAGTCTCCTGGTGAGAGCTGAGCGTCCGGAGGAAGGCCGAGGACGGCCCGGCCTGGCCGGCGTGTGGCGGGGCCAGGGCCCTGTTGGCTCTGGAGCCCCAGAGTCGTGCTCTTCTCGTGGTTCTGCAGTTGGAAACACACTGAAAGGTGCCCTGTTGTACGGTCACTACTTCACTCCTAGGGGACTGGGAAGAGGGTGTGCCCTGTTCTAACGTCCCCCCGCCCGCCCCCAGCGGGCACACAGTGGAGCCGGAGGTATGTCCGAGCTCGGGCCTGCGGACTCTGGCACCTTGAGGTCTGTGCTGTAGCTGTCACATACCTCACTTGGGAAGCGGGTCCCAGGCGTCAGGGGGCACACAGTTGTATTCCTTCTCTTCCTGCCGAAATGACGGAGGCTGGGCCCTCCTCTGGGAGACCAAGAGCAGCCGGAGGCTCCCGACCCCGCAGCCTGCAGCTCCGCCCTCGGCAGCGTCCGCATGAGGATGCGTGCTGCCCTGGGGAAGGAGGGTGGTAGGAAGTCAGTGCACAGTCGTGCCCTCTCCTGTCCGCGGACGAGCAGCGATTGTTAAATCAGGTCCTTCGTGAGGCTGGAAGGTCATTAATCAAGAATTCACTTGTTGGGGCACGAGAGAGTTTGACTTACAGTTTAATAAAACAGTGTGCACTGCCCAGAAGGCAGCTGTGCTCTGCTCTATCTTCCAAAAGTAGCAATGAGAAAGGAAAGTGGTAGAAATTCCCTGGGGAGTTGCAGTTGGCATCTTCACGGTCGCTGGTGGCCCGGGCCTCGGGGGCCCTCGGGGGGCTGGAGGCACCTGAGACAGGGCGGGGGGCCCGGCAGTCTGTGGGCCCTGTCGGTACGCTCACTCCCCCCAAGGGAGGGCACATGGAGACGCCCACGGAGGCCCGTGTGCAGCGGGAAGTTTGCGAGTGCAGAGGGCGCGGAGGAGATGTGTGGGAGGCCTGTCTTGATACTTCTCTGCCCCAAGAGCCCCTCTGTTTGGAGGCTTTGCCAGGTTTCTTCATGCATCACTTCCGGTGCTGTGGGCGTGCACAGGTTCTGTGCTGGCCTCCCCCTCCCTCCGTCAGTCCTTGATGGTATGGGTCTGTTTGCTGAGGATGCAGATGTGAAGGGAGGACCCTCATGGTCTTACCCCAGGGAGCTCACAGTCTGGCGGGAGCGATGGGCTCACAACCCTAATGCCGCTGCTGCCGCCGCCCCCAGGCCGGCTGTGCGGTGGAGGGAGAGGCCAGGTGCAGCGGTGCGGGTGCTCCTGTCTGCAAGCAGGGAGGCTTCAGACAGCGCGGGAGCCTTCAGCCTACTGGGGCGGCTGGCCTTAATGAGGGTGCAGCCTGTGGTTGGACTCACAGCGCCCCCACGACGCGGCGGCGTGTCCGCTGGCGTTTCTGAGGAAGCCACTCGCTGTGCGCGTGGCACTCAGCCGGGGGCTTTTCTTCCAGAGCTCTTCGACATCTGCCTTGCCAGAGCCAAGGAGAGGTGGCGGTCCTTCAGCACGGGCGGCTCCGAAGTGGAGAGTGAAGGTGCGTACGCCGCCGAGGCCTGTGGCCCTGCTCGGGGTGCGTCATCACCCGGCAAGGGAAAGGTGCTTGGCTCAGGCGGTGCTGGGGCGAAGCTACAGAAAGCTTTATGGAGAAGGGGGGTTTTCTTTTTTTCTTTTCTTTTTTTTTAAAGAGTGAGTTTGTTGTTTTTGTTTTTGTTTTTTTAAAAACCCTTTTCTAAGAAAGAGAACATGTAGGGTCCTGCAAGGGGCTTGTGCACTCACATGCCGGAAGGCCGCCTGCAACCGCCGCGGCCTCCCTCGCTCACACTGGCGAGGCGAGCAGCGGCCTGGCACCCAGGGCGCTTGAGCAGCAGCTTCGAGAGCAGCGTGGGCACTGCCTCCCAAGACACCGAGCACCGCGTTTGCTCGATGGTGCTTTCAGCGCCCCCCACAGTGTGCAAGGATAATGCTCTGCTGGTTACATTGTGTCTCCCTCTTCTTTTTAATCATCACCTGAGGATATGTTTACTGATTTTTAGAGAGAGAGGAAGAGAGAGAAACAGCAATGCAAGGAGCACTGATCGGTTGTGTCTTGTATGGGCTCCAGCCCAGGCCTGTGCCCTGACCGGGAAGCAGACCTCGACCTTTTGGTGTGCAGACAGCGCTCCAGCCAGCTGGGCCGCCCGGCCAGGGCTCAGCAGTGTCTTCCTTACTGATCTTTTAAAATACCATCTACATGGTATCAAAAGCCAAAAAAAACGTAGCCCAAGTTATTCACGAGTACTCACTGGCCAGAGGACACAGGTGTCCTGTGGCCATACTGCTCGTGTGGTCTGAAGTTTGTACCAGTGATGTTTTAGATCCAACGATGAGTGTTTATTGTTTGCTATTCCTTGAGTGACTGTGTGCACATTCCCTTCCTCATCCTTAATGCTTCCGCTGACTGCTGATGAAACGTGGTAGTGAACGAGACTTTGAACTAGAGATTTCAAACTCTAGAAAATACCTGGTGATGATCTAGCGTTAGATGGTGTGGCACGACATTTGCTTTTTTTTTTTTTCAGGTGACTATGAGGGTGCACTTGTTAAAGTTGGGGACAATGAAACACATAGGGGCTGAGCACAGAAGGAGCAGCAGGAGAGCCTGCGCAGGCGCCTTAGCTCGCTGGGGGGCCAGGGGAAAGGGGGTGCGGGGACAGGGCTGGGGCTCAGCCTGGGACCTGCTGCCGCTGCCTGTGGGGAAAGAGGGGGTGGGGAAAAAGTGGGGGCGGGAATGGCGTGGTCCGCCCCCCAGGGGGAGAGCGCCTGGCATGTGCTCCTCGAGCAGGAAGCTCTGCGGACCGCTGGCTTGCGTGGCGATCCGGCCTGTGTGTCTGAAAAGCTTCCCCGGTCCCACTGCTGTGGCACCGCCAAGCCGTTGAATGACGCCGTGTCCGCTGCCTCCGAGAGGCACAGTGACTCTCCATCTTTTGATAGATGCCGGGTGTTCAGCAGCGGACAGAGAAGCCAGCCTGGAGCTTATTAAACTGGACATTTCTAGAACATTCCCTAACCTCTGCATCTTCCAGCAAGTAGGTGGTTGTGATTTGTTGCTTTCAAGTATGTTTGTGTAAAAGTCACAGATGTCAAACTGCGTATATTTGCATCAAGTTTGAAAAGTACCTGGGCTTTCTGGGGGAGGGGCAGGAGGAGGAGGGGGTCTTCTGTTAACACACTGAGACGTTTAAAAACAAGAGTCACTGATGCTTCCTGACAAATGCTCACCGTGGCCACATTCCTGCCTTCGCAGGCAGCTCTGTGCTCTCAGAGCAGACACGCCGGGGCCTCTCCGGGCCCTGGGGCCGCTTCTGCAGCTGGGGCCACGCGCGCCGAGGACGGTCCCCGCGCGCCACTGTCCGAGGGGCAGAGGGGAGCCCTTGGCGGCCCGCGGGGCTCCGGGGCAGGCGGGCGGGCGGGCACGCTGCTCGAGCCAGCGTGGCCACGGGACGGGCGTCCTCTCCGGGGAGGCGCTTGCCCGCAGGCCCCGGGCTACCAGCAGCCGGAGTCGGGGCCAGTGGGGCAGAGGTGCCGGCAGACACTCGCCCAGCAGCCCTGCTTGACCCCTGCCTTGTCCCGTGCATGATGGTTCGGGTCGCTCTGCCCGCGGCCTTTCTGAACCTGTCCCTTCTCTGCTCCCACTGCCTTTACTTAGTTCAGAGCCTCATCTTTTCTGGTCGCTCCCACTGCCCCCGGCCTCCACGCATGTCTCCTAGCCTTCTCTTCCTCTGTCCAGTCACCTAACTGCCTCCAGAGCGACCTTGGAGTCTGCCGTTGGATTCTGTCACTCCCTTGTTTCTGCCACCAGACCTGACAACACTGGGAACCCGGGAAGGGGGCGTGGGGCAAATCAGAGCGCCTCAGCGACGGGCCACCCGGAATGAGCGGGAGCTGCCGAGTTTGACCCTTGGGCCTTGCAAAGCCGTGGGTGTGCCCCGGGCACTCTGACAGCGCCGAGGGGTGAGGCTCGCTCCCCGGTGGTGTGGCCATGGGGCGGGGTCAGGGTCGGTGTCGCTGGGGAAGCGGCCCTTAGGTTGTGCTTGGACTAGGCTTAAACGACAGTCTGCCAGAGAACGGAAAGACGTCCTAGGCAGAAGGACTGGGATGGAGGTATCAGACCCCTGCGGGGTTGGCGAGCCCCAGTTCCCTTTGGGAGACAGGGCCTCACTAGCGGAGCGCACAGAAGCCACGCAGCCCGGGCCTCTAGACGCTCCTGACTCGCTGGCTGCTCCGTGTGAGCCGGGAGCCGCTGCGGGCGCGCGGCTCTGGAGGGAAGCGCGGCTCTGGAGGGAAGCGCGTAGGGGCAGGGCTGGCATGGGGACGGCGTCCTGGGGGCCCGACGCCTGTCCAAGTGGAGGCCCAGCCCCTCCCGTTCCCGGACCCCGTTGTCCTCGCGTAGCATCCTTGGGGACACAGCTGCGCTGGCTTTGGGAGTCACTGGGTGATTACTTGGTGCAGAAAGAGGGGCACCTTAGGGTCCTCTTTTGAGCGGGTTTAGGACAAATGGCTTTTCTCTTTGCCGCTGGGTTCCTCTGGGCGTGTGTCCCTCCGTCTGCAGCTGCCACAGTTGCAGATTCCGTGAGTGCAACACGGTGAACGAAGGGTGGGGCGGAGAGTGGGAGACTCGAGCCGCCCAGGCCTAGCGGAGGACGTTTACAGCCAGGCGCTGCGTCTGCTGCCCCCGCCTTCGCACCAAGGGGAGGATGTGCGGCGCCCGAGCGAGGAGGACACGAGCACAGTGGCGGGAGCCAGGGAGGTCGCAGGCACGCGGCGTTGAGAGAGGTTCCGGGCAGCGCTCTGAGTCCCCCACGTGGCCTTGGGCCGGGCGCTGGTCGTCGGTGAGGCCACCAGTCCTCGGGAGGCATTGGGTGCTGCCACGGAGGCCCTCCATCCCCCTTCTGTCGCCCTCTAGCCCAGACTGTCCTGTTTTCTGGCCCCCCTTTCGGTGTTTTCTCCTTTGTCCCTCTGTGCTCTGGAAGTGTCACTTTCCATGTCAGAACGCGATGGTTCGGGCCATGGTGTTCTGTGAGCCACGCTCGGTCACCTGTGCAGTGGCTTCTGCCAGCCACACCCCGGGCACGCTTTGTAGTCCTGCGCCGGCTGCAGGCCCGCGGAAGGCACGTGCAGTCAGCGCTGGGGACCGAGCCAGCCCTTTCGTGGTACCTTCGGACGCTTGACGTCCTAGTGAGGCACCCCCACTTTCTCTGTGCTCTGAGCAAAAGGAATCGCAACACCTACGTTTTTAGAAGGAGTTACAGGAACAAATGGAAATCTCCAAGTGAGGCACCCTGCTTTCTCTGTGCTCTGAGCAAAAGGATTCGCAACACCTACGTTTTTAGAAGGAGTTACAGGAACAAATGGAAATCTGGAGGGATGGGGGAGCTGGGAGAAGGTTTGGAGTAAGTGGAGGCTGTTAGGACTTAGGACTTGGAGTGTATTTCCTAAATCTGTCATATTGAAAAATAAGAAACCAGGCTGCAACGGGGGGAGGGGCGCAGCTGGCAGGCAGTCGGGGCAGCGGGGAGCACTCACCTGCTTGGGCAGGGGGGCCCTGGGGGCCTTTGAAGGGGACGCAGTTACACCGCAAGCGCCAAGTTGAGGGTATGTTTCTAGCAAGGGGCTCCTACCTGGCCCCCAGCGTTTTCAGAGCAGCTTGGCAGATGGGGTTGCAGGCCCCCGGCGCACTGGATGGGCGGTTAATTCGCTAAGTCCCGTAATATGCGTAGCGCTGCTGGCACACGCTTGGCAACGAGCTCCCGTCCGCGCACGGCGGGAGCGGCGGCGCGACGGCGCAGAGGTGGTCCCGAGCACTAACAAGACTTCTGCATGTGTCCTTTCGGTGTGTTGCTCCTTTCAGGGCGGCCCGTATCATGACATGTTGCACAGTATTTTGGGCGCTTATACTTGTTACCGACCGGATGTGGGCTATGTAAGTGAACTTTTTCAATATTTTATAATGTTATTATCTCAAAAGAAAGTTAGAATATTGCCCGGAACATCTTAGCGGCAGAGGTTGAGTCTAATGCCCTCCTCTTTGGTTGAATATGAGAAGTCCCACGCCACGGAGTCAGTCGCCTGTTTCCTTGTAAAGAAATGGCGCAGGCATGGCCACTCTGTGGCATTTGTCACATTGTAATTTGATTTGATTTTTGTTTCTTGCATGTGACTTTTCTGCATTAAATGGAAACAAAAGCCTTTAGTAGTAACCATGTTAAAACTGCGCTGCTGCTGTGTCTGCGGCTTAGCAGATGTGTGTGCGCGGTGCCAGGTCTAACCCGCTGTTAGACGCACATCTCTTGGGCACCAGGGAGCCGCATTCTGGGGGCAGGAACTCAGATGGCAGGTGCCTAGGGACACGGGGACACGGGGACACGGGGCGAAGGAGAGCAGGCAAGGCAGCCGATGCGGTGCAGCAGCAGTGCTCCCGGGTGAGACAGGTCAGCGCCGAGGCTGTCAGCTCCCCGTGGGGGTGGCTGCGGGCGGGGCTGCTGGTGCGGGGGCGTGGGGCATCCAGCCTCCGGCCCGCCGTGCGGGCTGCTGGGGCCCAACACGCCCTTCTTTCCTCCCGCAGGTCCAGGGCATGTCCTTCATAGCCGCGGTGCTGATCCTGAACTTAGATACTGCGGATGCCTTCATTGCGTTTTCTAATCTTTTGAATAAGCCTTGTCAAATGGCATTTTTTCGAGTGGACCATGGCCTTGTAAGTATCCCCTGTGTACATGCCCTGTGTCTGCCCCTTCACACAGCAGGAATCACCTCATCGGTCTGTGTTGTCAGTGGAAAAAGAAACCATTTTCACTCTACTGAGAGAGCTTTAGAATAAATAGCACCATAGGAGGTGGAGGGTTATTGGGGCATTGTGTTGATTGTTAAAGACACGTGGCTGACAGTTACATGTATGAACTTGCGAATCCACTCTTTCAGGAAGTATTTCTGAGAACACATCCAGCGCACACGGGAGGAGGGCGGCGCTGACAGAACGGGGCGCGCAGTGTGGGGCAGCCTCCGTGCGCACGCCTGTCGCGCAGCGTGCGGCGTAATCGAGCTGTCTGGCTGCCCGCTGGCACGTCAGGACGCTGCCCAGTGTGGCGGGCTCTTCGCGGGCCAGGAGGCACGTTTCTGGCCAGCTCCGCCCTTGGACAAAGGCAGCAGTGTGTTCAGGGCGCGTTTGCGGCCACTGGATGAACGGAGGGGCCCGTTGACTCAGTCCCCTCTCGGTGCCAGGCACTGTGCACAGCGAGGGCTGCGGCCCAGGAGACCCTGTGTGTGCTTCCGGGACAGGGAAGCGAGGCTCAGGGCGGTAGGCCCTGGGCACGGCCCCCTGCCGGCCTAGGAAAGCGCCACGCGCACGTCCCTTCCTTGTCCAGAGCCCCAGACTCTGTGTGGCCCAGAGGACAGCCACCAGTTTAACACACACATCGTCTCTCGAATTAGAGCTTCCTTGATCTGCAGGTAGAGGGGCTGGGAGTCAGCACCAGCGCCCCGTGGCCAGGGTGGCGGATGGGTGGGTCGGCTGGAAACCTCCCCTGCGTAGTATCCTGAGGACTCCTGAGTCTGTTTTGCTCATGCAGTACACACGCTTTTTTTTTTTTTTTTTAAGGTATTTAAAAGCTGTTGCTCGCTGACTGGCTGTTAGGGGAAGGGTAAATAGGCAGACTCCTTTTAGAATAAATTTGGTGTTAAGCGTCAATAGTGATAAAGGGCATCGGTATGTAATTCTGCTTGTAAAGATCTAAGTCAAAGTGCGGACAAAGCATTATGCACAAAGCAGGTCGTCACACAATTATTTATAATTATTTTGTAATAACTTAAAATCATATTTCAGTGTGAAAGTGAAAACCTTTAAAAATGATTTTTGGGGAATACAAAACGGTTAACGGAAATCCGGCAACATACCCAGTGCAGCAGTGATGTTTCCAAAGAGCCGCACTGGGGCAAAGCACTGAAGGTGAACGCTGATGTTTCTGGAGGTGCGAGAGACGGACACAGGCCGCCAGGCTCCCGCAGTTCCCTGGGAGAGGAACCGCGGCACGCGCGAGCAGCGTTGGCGGGCGACCTCGCCTTTTCTTCGGTGGGCGTTCACAGACACTGCTCTCGCAGTCAGAAAACACTTTTCACGTGTAATAAAGTGATTTACATCTCAGTAGCTCCCCATTTTGAAAATAAGACCCCAGCTGTCTCTTTGGCAGCACAGGAATAAGAACTGTACTTCAGAACCTCAGCCTGATTACTGAGGAAAACTCAGCCTCGGAACGCTGAACGGGACCTGCGTTCAGAGCAGGTCTCCCAGCAGCAGCGGTGTTGGCGGTGGGGGCTGTCCTGTACACTGGGTGTCCTCTCTGGCCTCTCCTAGATGCCAGTGGCACCTCTCCCCTAGTTGGGACAACCAAAAATGTCCTCAGACATGGCCAAATGTCCCCTAGGAGGCAGAGTCGGCCCGCCCCGTTGATAACTGGTTTGCAGGATGACCGGCGCCCACTGAGGGGCAGGCAGCGTCCGAGGGCCACGCCTGCCCACCTGCCTCCGGCCTGTGGAGCAGACCGGCCGCCTGCCTCCAGCTCGTGCCACTCCCCGTGCGGCTGTGGCTGCTGTTCCACACCACCCCCCGCCCTGTGCCCTGTTCACCCGCAGGCCCTGTGGGCGGCTGAGAAGCCTGTGCTGTAAACTAGAGGCGATGGCCGCTCGCCTCTCCCCGCACGTTTCCTCCCTCGCTGCATGGTGAGGTCGGGCGGTATCACCCGGGCCAGAGATGTCAGGGTCACAGCCCCCCGGGCGCGCTCGGGTTGGGGGCGGGGGTGTGCGTGCTTACCCAGGTAGTTCACTCCTGGTTCTTAGAAAAGAACGCCGTGCCATGGGACAGACGGTGTGAGCCCCGGACACGTGCGCGCTGTGTCCTTACTTGGCAAGTGGTTTCAGTTTTCTTCTTTATAAATTGAAGAAATAAGGTATAACCAGAGACGTTGCTGTGAAGATCAGCGATTGCGTTCGCAGCCATAGTCAGAGATGCTGTGGGCTTAGCTCCCGACCACCGCAGGGGAGGGTATCTCAGCAGAGCAAGTCCCAGACGCCCTGGTCTCCCAGTGCGGGCAAAGCTGCGCTGCGCTGCTCTGTGGTCGGCAAGGCGTGCCGTGGCGTTGCCTCTGAGGCAGCGCGCCTGCCTTGACTGAAGAACACTGTGCTGCCAGCGGCTCCTGCCGCCCCGTGCTCGCGGGGCAGCGGCACTCACAGGCTCTCGGGCGCGGGGCCACGCCAGCTGTTGGTGCGTGAGTGGCCCAGGGTCTGCGGAGCGCGGGAGGTGGCCGGGGGGCGGTGGACGAGCTGTGCCCGCTGCAGACGGAGGTGTCCGTGCGCCCCGGTCCCGGCTTTCCCATCCGAAGGGCGGAAGCACATTGACTTTGTTTTGTCAATTGGAAATACGTGCTGATGGTTTCGTGTCTTTCACATTATTTTCCCAGATGTTGACTTATTTTGCTGCGTTTGAGGTATTCTTTGAAGAAAACTTGCCGAAATTATTTGCTCATTTCAAGAAAAACAACTTAACTCCAGACATCTACCTAATTGATTGGTAAGTGTGCGTTTTTGTTTTCAGAGTGCTTGCCCTCCGCACCCCTTTGCCCTGCCGCCTCACAGCCAGTGCCCTTCAGGGCTCGGCACCTGCCCTGCCGCCGCCTGCCCGCCGCCTGTTCCCTGAGCTCCAGTGCCCCAGTCGTCCGCTGGTGCTGTTGGCTCCTCTTTGTTGCTGTCTGTGGCCCCTGCTGGTCTTTCTACGTTCCTTCAGCGGGGAGTGGTGTCTCGGATCTCTTTGGTTTCAAAGAGCCACGTACCGATTTGTTAAACAAGGTGTTGCTGAGCACCAAGTCTGTCTGGGCTGGGCTCTCTGCGGGGCCTAGAGCTTGGTGGCGAGCAGGACACAGAGTTTGCCATCGAGTGCTCCTGACTAGAGGGAGACATGTGCCCATGGACCGCTGTATGGTGTGGGAAGTGCTGTCGCTGAAGCTGGGCAGGAAGGACAGAGAGCCCTGGACCCAGGCTTAGGGGTCAGAGGGTGCAGGGTTAACGCCTGACCCCACGCCAGGGCCTGGTGGGAGTGGGCGCTTGGTGGGGTGGGGCCTAAGGGCGGGTGGGGCGCAACAGGCGAGTGCTTGGCTGGCCAGGTCCCCGTGCGACCCGGGTGCCACGCTGAGGGGCCTGGGCAGGGGTGCAGGGCCCGCCGGAAGGCTTTCGACTGGGGCGATGGGGAAGGTGGGTACCTCCAGAGGAAGCTTTGGGTTTTTGGGAGCCAGGGAACCTGGAGGCAGAGACAGAGCAGGGGAAAGGCCAGGCTGGAACCGAGCCTGCAATGTGGGTGGAGTGGGGAGTGGAGAGAGCTCGAGAGAGGAAAGTGGCGGGTGCCTGTGAGGGCTTGCGGGGGCGCAGCAGACGGCCGGGAGCTGCCGCCTGTGTTCGGTGTCGTGCTGGAGCGGGGCTGCAGGGCACAGGGGCCAGCCTCGGCAGGATGGGCAATGGATTTGGTTTTGGACACTGGTTTTGAGGGGCCTGTTGGACACATGCAGATAGGAGGTTCCAGAGGGTTCTGGGCTGGAGCGGCTCTTACTACAGAGGTACTGTGGTTGCCTGAGGCAAGGGTGGGCGTCACCCCAGAGGGCGCATGTTTTGGGGGGCTAGGCGAGAAGACTGGTGACGCACTTGGGAGCGAAGTGAGCAGTCTCGTGGGTCACTGCGGACATGGTGCGGCTGTGGCCCTGCACCCCGCGGCCCACTCGGGCGTAGCCTGCCCGGGGCCTGCCTCGCGGCCTCCGTGAGGTTTTCACCCCTCTGAGCCTGTCTCCTCCTCCATTAACCTCAATGACGAACGTCACCAGGCATTGTAAGGTGGCCGCCCCAGCCCCCAGCTTACGTGAGGGGCTCTGCAGAAGCAAAGGAGGTGCCACTCAGTTAGAAAGGCCTGTTTGGGCTGCAGCACCGACATGCACCATAAATCTAAACCACCGTGAACAAAGAGCTGGTTTATTTTTCGTTTTTCTCCTCACTTCTTCAGGAGATAAAAGGCTTCTTTGGGGAATGTAAAGGCTCGATCCTTCCATGATGCAGACTCGTCTGCACCCGTGGGAACGAGCCTTTGGGCCCTTGGTGTTTATCTCCTCCTCCCAAATCCTGAGGCTGCTCTGACGCCCAGGTTCCTGCTGGGGATGAGGCTGGAGGTCGGAACTTGTAGCCGACACCGCAAGTCCTGGTGTCACTGGGGCACAGGACATGCCAGGCCAGGAAGCAGCCCTTTGGGGATGGGGGGCTGGCCCGCCTGCCTGCTCCAGTCTGAAGACGGCTGTGACCCAAGCGGCGGAGGCCCTGGTGCCCGCAGTGGCTGGCCGCAGGGCGTTCACGCGTCGCCTTGCTGAGCCTTCAGAACAGCCTCGGAGTGAACCGCGACACCTCCGTCTCACGGGGGAGGAGCTTGAGGCTCCGCGGCGGACGGGCTGCCGGGGCCGTGGGGTGAGCTGAAGGGCAAAGCGGGCACCTGGGCCCACATTGCCTGCGCCAGAGCTTCACTTCCCCAGGGGGTTTGTCCTTTCTGGGGGATTTTGTCACGAGGCAGCGTGACCCACGGCAAGGGCCCCTGGCTCAGGCTCCAGAGACGGTGTCACCGCACTGGCGGTGCTCCCGGGAGGGCGAAGCAGGGGCCAGCCTTGCCTGCAGTGCCAAGGGAAGCAGAGTGCGGGGGTCTGAGCAGTAGGGAGGCTCCGGGGTTCTGCTGCCGACGCCTGATAACAGGACGTGTCGGTGCTCGTGCCCCGTGAGCGCTGCCCGCTGCGCCTTGGTGCGGCCACCGCGGGGGTCGGCTTGCTCCTGGCTGCTTGAGGACGGACGTGACGTGCCTGACTGCTTCTTAGAGTAAGGACCGCGTGTCGTCTGTTTGCAGGCCCTACGCAGGGCTAGGCCCACAGCAGGTCCTTAGTAAATACGGTTGGATCAGGAACTGGAGGCCAGGCCTCGTTTACTCTGCCACACGTGCGGGGCTGGTCTGCGGCGCCCCAGGCTCTGGGTCAGGGCCCAGAGTGAGGAGGGGACGCAGAGCAGACGCGGGCAGGCACGGGGGCATGCAGGCCCTCGTCTCGGTGCTGGCCTCATGGAGACTCCTCGCGCTGCCATCGTCCCGTTGCCCGGGGCCGGTGTGCGTCTGCTGCACAGAAGGCCCGCGGCCCTTCTCCAGCGGCCACCGGCAGTGAGCGGGGCAGGCCTGCCTCCTTTTTCCTGCTGCGCCGTATTGCCTCTCACGGGGCAGCCGGCCCTGCCTCGGAGCTGCAGGGCGCGGCGGTCCTGCACCGCATGGTCTGTGCAGCGCAAGGAAGGCTGGGGCGCCAGTGGCTCGCTCCCTGAGCAGCGGGCCTTCTTGTTCTGCTCCGTGACGGGGCTGAGGGCGCATGCGGTTTGGCCGGCCGAGCGTCCCTGCGCGCGGTGCGGGTGCCCCGGCCCTGCCCTGCCGCGCTACCTGCCCCCCCGCGGGCCCCCTAGGGCGAGGCTTCCGTCTGGGCCAGCTTCTCTGCGCCGTGCAGGTCGCGCTGCAGGACCCCACCGGCCCGGTTTGAGGGTTGTGTGTCCAGAGGCGCTGCCCCCACCTCGCCGCCCCCACGTTGGGTGCCCCCCGCCCAGCGCCGACCTGCTCGGAGGCTGTCCTCGCAGTCTGTCGTGGGCTGTGCTTCGTCAGTCATCTGTGAGTTTCTCGTGCCTGGCCCTGTGTGTGGCTAGAGTCCTGGGTCAGAGAAGACGTCTTTGTCCCACGGGGCCCTCCTGGGTTCACGCACACAGGATCCCGCCTGAGCCCGCTGGGGCATGGCCCTCCGCCGTGGGCCCTGGCGGATGCCGTCTGCGGGTGGGTTCTGGGGCTTTGCCAGTTGACTGTTAGATTTACTTGTCGATCCTGCCTTCCTGGCAACGAGTCTTATTTCATGGGGCTGTCGCTCTTCTGTGCTCACCGGGAGGATCATAACAAGGTCGCACCAGCTGCGTTGCCATCCTACAGGGTTTTGAGTGTCCACGTTTTGTGGGAGGACTAACGTGGTCATTTAACTTATCAAAGCATTTCCTGCTTTGATAATGCCGCCAAATGGCAGGATTATTTGAAGGCACGAGTGGCTTTTATAATAAAAAATCCTGAATTAAAGAAACCAGTGGTACATTCTGTATCACAATTAAACGACTTTTGTAACGATGTTTAGTGATACTTGAGCCTATCATTACATTGAATCTCTACCTTACAGGACCAGTTCAAGGTGAAATCCCTGTTGGAAGCGTTTCGCTTCCAGGGTGTTTTGCAGTTTTCTCTTAGGGTCCTTAACTCTGGGGTCCGGGCCTGCCTCAGACCTCTCCCAGAGCAGGGGCTGTCGCGCTGAGCCCCCGTGCTTCTGGATCGGCATCTGGCGTGTGCTGGGGCTGTCATGTGCTTGTCGTGTGCGGCACGTGTGTGAGCGCATGTGTGCATGTGTGAGTACGTGGGCGTGCTTGAGCCTGCATATATGAGTGCGGGTATGAGGGTGCGCGTGTGCGGGTGAGTGCGGGTATGAGGGTGCGCGTGTGCGGGTGAGTGGGAGGGTGATGTGCGGGTAGGTGCGGGAGTGGGTATGGTGCGTGTGCGTGGGGTATGAGGTGGTCGGGTGGTGCGGGTATGAGGGTGCGCGTGTGCGGGTGTGCGTGCATGCGGGTGTGGGTGTGGGTGTGGGTGTCGTGTGCAGGGAGGGATGAAGGGAGGAGGAGCAGGGCCCCCGCCGGTGGTGGGGACCTGCTCTCGGGAAGGGCCTGCGCGGCCTTGGTCACCAGCCGCCCTGGCCTGGCCGAAGGTGGAGCCTACCGTCCAGTGCAGCGGGTCTGCTTCCCTACTAGGATCTGGGACAAAAGGTGACAGTGCCTTTGGGCGCAAGGTAGAAGGTGCCGTCTGGGCACGGAGGTACATATAATTGCTTCCAGGATTGAGGGCTAGGGCTCACAGCCACTTCCTCCAGCAGCCCGCGGGCAGGGCTTGCTCCTGGGAACCAGTCAGGACGGGGACACTAGGCACAGCTGGAAACTGGTGGTGTCCGTTCCTGAAGGCCCCCCCCTCTGGCTGTAGCTCCTCAAGGGGTGAGCCTGCTGGACCGCCGCCCCTTTCCCTCAGGCCCAAGTCGGGTCTCCACGACCTCCGTGCGCCCACAGGCTCCTGAGCGGGAAAGGCTGACTGCTTGTCCTGGGCGGTGGGCATCCCGGTGCCTGCACAGGAAGCTGGCAAGGCGCCCAGTCCTGCCCCTGGGGCTTGAACCCGGGCAGCAGGAAGAAGCGGCCAGGCAGAAGGCAGCTCCCTCCCTGCCAGGGTCAGAGAGGGAGCCTCGCCCTGTCCCCTCGCGCTCTCAGGCAGGCCCTTAGGAGGGACGCGCCTGGGGGTGCCAAGGCCTGCCGGGAGAGTGCCTGTGCTGTCTGTCTCCCCCACGCACACAGTAGTGCTCGCTGTGAGCCTGTGGCACCGCGGGGCATCAGCCACAGAGAGGCGCGCCGTTTGTGTTGGTTGAATCTGTGCCTGACGTCAGCACTGCTGATACACAGCGCGCGAACGCACGCAGCGGTCCAGGGGGCAGAAGTCCCTGAGGGCCCCTTCCTCCTGTGGGAAGAGCGCCGCGGCCGTGCTGGCTGGGACAGGCTCCGAGGGCTTGATGGGAGCGTTCTGAGCCCCCGGCCGGGCTGCGCGGGGCCACGACAGAGCCTGTGGTAGGTGTCAGCTCCCGGGTGGGGCTGTGCTGGCCCCTTGGAGGCATGGATGCTTAACCACTTCCCAGAGCAGACCAGGAGAGGAGTGTTTGTCCTCTTCACAGCTGGATTTTGAATCTAAATGTGGTTTAAAATACAGTCACGCATTTGGAAGCCGCTGGTAGTGAATGGTTTTCAAGTGATAGGGAGCGGAGAGAAAAGGGGGGGCGGGAGGCACAGCCGAGCTGGTCCACCTGCAGAAGAGGGGGCAGGGGAGAGGCCCTGGGGCAGGGAGAACTGGGGACCCATCCTGGTGACCGGTAGCTCTCAGGGTGGCCCTGGGCTGCCAGGTGGAAATTAAAAAAAAAACTTCTAAGGCACACTTAAGATATAATGACATTCAAGGCCTTAAAACTCCATTTCAGTACAAAAAACAGCAAATGGTGCCAAGCGTGGTACAGCCGGCGCTGCCCTGCACGAAGCGTGTGCTTAGCGGTCGGTTCTCCGTCTCCCTGGGCCTGGGGGCCGCGCTCGCGCTCAGCGCCCCTGCTCGCCTGCGGGGTTGCGGGAGGCCTGCGGCCTCGCACTCGGGCGGCTCCGGAGAGCAGTGAGCGTGGCGGGGGCGGCGAGGGAGCACGCGGGCTCTGGGCGTCGTTGGTGTTTCCTCCACATGCTGGCATTGCCTCACGAGGCTCCAAGGCTCTCCAGTAGCATATGGAAGCCTACACGTTCCTGAGCTAAGGACTGTTAGGTCGGAGAGATTTCTTTGTTGTCACTATTCCTCTTCTTGTAGCCTCTCTGATTTCTGATCATTTTCGCCTGAAGCTGCTTTTAAGATGGGAGAACCTGATTTCCATGAATGAACGGGCAGGAAGCAGCGGCATCACCGATCTGACCAGTTCTGCCTCCGTTTTTAAAAAACGAGCGCGCCCGGCCTCAGCCCGTGTGGCTCAGCTCCAAAACGCCGCTGGTCCGCTTCCCACTGCGGCACACGCCTGGGTTTCAGGTTCACGATGTGAAAACCTGTGATGTGAAACCCCGTGAGTTTGACCCATATTTTTAAAAAATAATAATAATAAATAAGCATGTCCTAGATAGAAGTGAGAACGTTCTCTCGATTGAGACCAGAAGCGGAGATCTCCTGCGTCTCTCTTTCTCTGTCTGCTAGTCTCAGCGATGAGATTGTTTTCTGGGTCCCAGGACGTCTGGGTAATCTGGGTGTGGGCTTGGGGTCGGGCTCAGAGTCTTGCTCTACCACCAACTGTGGCAGGACCGGGGTGGTTTTCCTCTGACACCTGTCTCCCTGTTCCCCTAAATGGCTCTGCCTTCCCTGCATCTTACGCGGGGTAGAGGCACTCACAGGGGCGGCCTTGAGTGCGGCCAGGGCTTCATCAGCATGCGGGGTTGAGTGTAGGGATGATCCTCTGGGTCTGGAGGAGCGGCTGTTTCCAGGCAGAGCGCTCTGCGGGGGCGGGGGCGGGGGAGGGTGTTGGACTGAGTCGGGTCCCAGCGTTCACCACAGACTGAAGGCCTGTGCCCGTGGGACCTGTGTGCAGGCTGGCTCCTCACAGGGCGCTGGGCCCCGGGTGGGATTCCTTACAGCGAGGCGAGAGTCCCGCTGCTGGGGGCAGCCCGTGGTGCGCGCCCAGCGCCTGGGCTCAGGTGTCTGCTGGGCCCCGTGTCTCCCGAGCTGGCGTGGGCTCTTGGGAAATACCGACATCTGTGGAAGAACGACTTCCCAGGAGGGACGGGGACTGTCCCCACCAGCTGAGAGTCCCCACTCCCAGTGAGAACCACCCCCTCTGACCTCTGAAGCAGATCGGGGTCTGTGCAATGTGTCCCCGCTCAGCAAGGGTCGCCCCACACTGGGTGCTGTGTCCAGAGAGGAGTGGGCAGGGTCCCTGCCCTGTGCCGCCTCCAAGGGAGACAGAGGCAAGCCCGGGGCCTTGTGACGAGCACCAGGGCCACGAGAGTGCCAGGCTGGGGCCGGGGGCCCGGGGACGGTACCAGGCCACGCCCCCACTGAGGGGAGGGGGCTCGCAGAGGCCGGCCGGCCGGCCCCTCCCCGGGACCCTGCCTGCCGGGTGCTGAGGCCGCTCCGGATTGCGTCTATTCGGCCGTTTGCAATGTGATTATCACATTTTTTAAGGGGATATATATTTGTGTTTCATTTTTTCATCTGGTGGTCTGCATTGTTAAGGTCAGTTTCTTGTAATCCAGTCACATTTATGTGGAAAAATTTACTTTGTTCGTTGCTGACCCCTACTGGGGAAAAAATGTACAGTACTCTTCATGAGTGTGGTGTACATGTGTGCAGAGTTTTAAATTTCTGTTCACTGTTTATCCCCCACCAGGCTCCGAGCCCTCCCTGCCACATTAAATACTTGTTGCACATAAAAGTAATCAGTATCAGTTCAGAGATTGTACTGTGTTTGAATTTCTGCGTGAGAGCCAGTAATGCTGTTTCATAACATTTTTACATTGGCTTTTTGCTCCCACACTGCCAGCCCTGCATGTATGAGGGGGGACCCCAAAAACCAGAATTACCTTCTGGAGGATGGACCCCTTGTAGTACAGGCTTCCCCCTCTGAGTGTTCTAGGGACCCATTTGTATCAATGTGCCAGCTGGTGGTGTTGTGAGAGGCTGCGTTCAGCTTCAGTGAAGTTTTTGAAGACTCTTTCAACATGTTTGCCCATTTCACAGTTGTTGATTTACAAGTGCACCTGCCCACACCATGCTGAGTATTCAGCAATTGACCAAAAATGGCAGGACCCCTGTGCCACACCCTCCCTGTTCACCCAGTTTTGCCCCGAGTTACATTTTATGTTTCCCTGGATGAATAAAAGTCCTCACAGGGCAGTGTTTCGACAAAATGGAAGAGGTGAAACGAAAAATGGCAGAAGCACTAAAAGGCATCAAAATCAAGTTCAAAAACTTCTGAGCAGGGAAAAACGTCTCGATAGGGGCACTGCCTCACGTGGAGAGCACTTTGAAGGGGACTGGAGTTCACACATGTCAGAATAAGTACACACTTTTTAGTAAGTTCCGGGGTTTCTTCGGCCCCCCCATGCGTGTCTGAGCGCTGAAGTGGCCGACTCGGTGGGGGGCGTTTGTAATGGAGCAGGCCCGATCCAGGGGTCTGTCTTTGTGCCATGCAGACCTGAGGAGCCCCACCTTCTTTTGCAGGATCTTCACCTTATACAGTAAATCCCTGCCCCTGGACCTGGCCTGCCGCGTGTGGGACGTGTTCTGCCGCGACGGGGAGGAGTTTCTGTTCCGCACGGCGCTGGGCCTCCTGAAGCTCTTCGAGGACATCCTGACCGGGATGGACTTCATCCACATGGCCCAGTTCCTCACCAGGCTGCCCGACCAGCTGCCCGCCGAGGAGTTTTTTGCCTCCATAGCTACAATTCAGATGCAGAGTCGAAACAAGAAGTGGGCCCAGGTAGGAGGGCCTCCTGTTCCGCTGTCTCCCCCGGGGAAAGGGGCTCAGTGGGTGTGACACAGGAAGCGCTGTGTGCAGAGGCCCGCGGAGGAAGCGCCCTGTCCCCAGAGGAGCTCGCGCTGGAGACCCGGCGCCGGGCTGGCCCTGCGGGGCCTCAGGCAGCCGCTTCCTCCTGGGCCTCTCTGCCTGACGGAGGGGCCGCCCCGCACTTTCCGCAGTGGACCCGGGGGTCGGAGCTCCTAGTGGCAGCAGGCGCCCACTGTAGAGTAGACAGCGTTTTGTAACCCAGGCCCCTCACCCCTTAAAAATGACAGAGACGGAACTCAAAGGGAGCCAGCCCTCGCGGGGCCCCTCCTCCCGTGGAGGGTGGGGGCGGCTTCCCGTGACAGCAGTCCCGCCCCAGCACCCCCGGGTGGTGCGACTCCCCCCACTTTCCAACGAGTGTGTCAGCATCCGCTCATCTTCCTCTCCGTGGCACTGCTGCCCTGCGGTCGCCCCCACACCTGTTCGCGCCCCCATATCCGCCCACGGCCCCACGCACACCCACCCGCCCGCACACACGGACGCACACACGGACGTGCACACACCCATGTATGTGCCGGCCCAACCACACACACACCCACGCGCCCACCCACACCCAGGTGCGCGCACACAGAGAGAGGGTTAAAGCCAGATCTGACATTTTGCTACCTGCGTTTAGGAACTAAGTAAAAATAACTGATTAAAACTAAGTCAGGCGCATCGAGTCCTGGATGTTTTGTAACAGTGGGCGAGTGGTGGGCGGTCGCCTGGCGGTGGGTGTGGCTCAGCAGCGCCCAGCGTTCTGCCGTTCGCTCCCATGGGAACTGTGGTCTGGGCACGCTCCTCTCAAATGCTGTGCTTGAGGGGAGGGCGCTGGTGAGTGTCACAGGGCAAGTCGCTGTTTACGTTTGGGTGGCAGTCCTGTCTCTTGGAGGCGGGGGCCCTCGTCCCTGCCGCCTGCCCTGACACCTGCGCATATTGTTCCCGCCCCACCCCTGTTGGTAGCTTGGGGCGCAGGCACAGTGGCACCGCGCCCGGCCTCCGGTGGGGCACTCGGGGGCCGCAAAGGGCCCCTGGGCTTTGAAATCCGACAGGTTGGGTGTGAATCCACGTGAGCTGGTTGCCTTGGAGCGAGCAACTCCCGCGGATGCCCGTTGCAACGTTGCCTCAGCTGGTTGTGCGGGTTGGCCCGCGCTGTACGTGGACTGCCTGGTGGAGCAAGGGCTCTGCTCGGCATCGGGGGGGTGGGCGTTCCCGAACTGCCACCACCGATTTTGTTGCTACTGTTACTATAAGCAGTCACAGTGGAATGTAATATTTTAAAAAAATAAAGGTGCTGCTTGGGCTGGTGCGGCTCAGTGGAGCGAGTGCTGGCCGGCCATCCGAGAGGTCGCCAGTTGGACCCCCAGTCTGGGCACACACCTGGGGTGCGCCCAGGGCCCCGGCGGGGGGCAAGCAAGAGACAACCAATCCACGTATCGCTCACACATTGTTTTTTCTCTCCTTCCCTTCCCTTCTCAATAAAAGTAAATAAATAAAACCTTTAAAAAATAAAATAAATAAAAATAAATAAAAAACGAAGGTGTTAGCCAGGAGCTGAGAGAGCAGAGAGAAGGGAGCCAGCTAAGTCGCTTTCGGGGAGGCACCTGTTTTAGTGGCAGGGTGATGGGTAGGAGGTGGGGGGAGCCCCAGAGCCCCGTCACGATGTCAGTGCCGTGGCTGGTGGGACGGCTGGAGGGCGTCGCCCAGAGGGGGCGTGGCGGCTCTCCGTGTTAGGAAGGCAGGTCTGGGGGCAGGTGTAGAGGGTGGGCCTCAGGAGCCGCAGAAGCGGGGAGCAGAGTCACCCCATGAGCATCTCGGGAACGCGGGTCAGTGTGTGTTGCAGGTCGCCCATAGACGTCTTCCCTGTGATTCCCAGGTGCTGACTGCGTTGCAGAGGGACAGCCGGGACACGGAGAAAGGAAGCCCGTCGCTCAGACACTGAGGCGCAGGTGGGCGCGCACTGGCGCCGGAGCGGACTACCCAGCGCCCCTGTGTTGTTCGGGGCGGACGCGCTGGCGGCTGAGGACGGGCTGTGGATGGCGTTGGATCCCTAACACTGGAGTTGGCCTTAAACCAAACAAACAAAACTTTTAGAGAATTAAACCGAGGCTTAGCCTTAAGGAGTTCAGTGGAACGACGACCCAGTATTGACCTGGCAACCACTGCACACCCGCATGGTTTGAAAACAGGGCGGCAGCTAACCCCTCCCTTTGCTCCGGCAGAAGCTATTAAATGGTGATGCTATTATGTCAACTCTAGGAAAAGACGTACCCGTCTTTCTTAGCCGAGGTGCATGAGGAGCGATTGGGGGACCTCAGAGAAGTGGCTGGCTCCTAGTTCTCTATTTCGGTAAGAAAGGGATGCTGGTTTAGTTATCGAGATAACTCTTTCAGAAACAGAGGGCCAGTTTTTAAAGCCCGCCTACCAAAGATGCACTGGGGGCAACGCGCTCTCAGGGCGGCCACCGGGGAGCGCCCCGGCTCACGTTTGCCACGCTGCCTCGCCACAGCTGCCGCCCGAGGGCCGGGGGGGCCCGTGTAGATCCCGTGGGAGCGCGCTGCCCCCGGAGGGTGCCCCTGTCGCACGCCAGAGGAGAGTTTGGGCAGGCGGGGCTGTGCACACAGAAGGCCGGGGCAGCAGAGAAAGGCCTCGCGCTGCTGCGGGCGGAATGAAAACAGTCTCCCCCCACGTCACAGCAGAGGGACCAGGCCGAGGACGCTGAGACCTGCACCCCGGCACTCTGCTGGGTTCTGCGCAGGCCTCGGAGACACAGTCGTGCATGTAGGGGGGCTGCTCGCAGAAGGCTCTGCTGCCCTTTGTCACCTGCGCAGCAGCATCAGCCCTGGGTGCTGCGGTTGCCCTCGCGCATTTGGCCTAAAGGTAGACCGTGGCAGGGACAGAGAAGCAGCCGCACTCGCCCCGCAGCCCAGGCTCATCACGCAGGGTGTCTCTGCCCTCGGCCTTCCCGCTCTGGCCGGCTTCCCCAGGTTCACCAGCCCCTTTGCTCCAGATTTCCCTGAGGGCTTTGAATGAGGAGCTTTGGTTACCCGAATTCAGAGACGTGAGCAGCTTCTTCTCAGAGCAGTCCCAGGACCTGCACTTCTCTACGGACGCAGGCCCCGCGCTAGTCCCTGGGTGTCTGGGTAGACCCGGTCCCGGTCCCGTAGGGCAGCTGCGCGGTGGGGCTGCCCCGGGCCTGGGGCCCCGCCCTCCCGGGCTGCACCGTCTGCCCAGGGAGCGTCTCCAGGTCGGCCCTGTCCCTGACGTGGGGCGTGCCCTTGGCTTCGAGAGTGCGGCCTTTGGCTCGGAGACCTGCAGTGGAGGGTAGAGCCTGGCTCTGTGTTATTTTTATAGGTTTTCTATATATGCCGGGCCGCTGGCGACACCTCCAGGCGCAGTAGCCAGCTGCCGGGCTGCGGCGGTCCTTGCGCCCCACACCTGGCTCTGCTGTGTGTGTGGTTTCCCCAGAACCGCCTTGGTTCCCCCATCTCCTCTCTGCGCCCTCCCAGGAGGCTGCGGAGCATCCCAGATGCTCTCTCTGCCTCGGCCTTTACCTGCTGGCCCTCCCCTGGGTCTCGCACCTGCCCACGCAGCCAGTGCCGGACCCCACGATGCTGAATGTTACCAGGCTTAGCTGCCCCTCACAGGCGTAGCCCTCCGTTCCATGACATGGGCGCTCTGTTCCTGGAAGATGCGTAGAGTCCCTTGCTTTCTGCAAGGGTGCTCCTTAAGTCGGGACAGAGTGGTGCGGGCCCCTCAGAAAGTGCCCCTGTGTTCGGTCCCAGCCCTTGACGAGGCCTCTCAGTTGGACGCGTCTTTAGACAGGGACCGGTGGGGCGTTAAGGTGTCAAGTGGCATTCTATGTCGGCCTGGAACACTGACCAAATCTCTGGTTCTGAAGGGGTTTTCACGACCTGTTCAGGGACCCTGTGCGGTCTGACTGGTTTGCTCTGTCCCCCGGAGAGGCCAGGAAGTTCCCAGCCCCTGCGCAGGGTCATGAGGCCCCTTTCCACAGAGGGCTGTTCGAGAGCCGGTGGCCGAGCTGCGGGTGATGTCACCACAGGACATCGGAGGGGGAGGCTGCAGCCCAGCCGCCTGTGCCCGGCCCTGCTCGGCCTGGAGTCTCATCTGGATGCGAGTTTCACTTGGAAAGATTCTTTTTAGCTGTTCAGTTTTGACTATTTTAAATAGTTTGCTGATAGAAGATTCCTGGTAACACTTGCTACATATCATGTTTTAATTGCTTGTACAGTTAACCTTTTACCTTATTTAGTAAAGTGTATCAAATTAGGACTTTTTGAATTGTAAATATATCGTTTTATTAAATAAAATTCATGTAAAATTGTTATTTATATTCACAGTTTTTTGGTTTATTTTTTGTTTGTTTCAAAATACCTTCTAAGCTCACTTACTTCATTTAAGGTAATATGAAAAGCTGTTAACTTCAGTAGTGAAAAGAAAAAGCAAAATACAAGCAGAGTAACTTAAAGCAGAAAAAAAATCTTGCACGTTGTTTGGTTTAAAATTGAAGTTCTCATTTTTTCCCCTTTTTTTAGTTGTTCTTCAGTTACACTTGTCCTCATTTTCCCCCATTGCTCTCCCTGCCCTACCCGCCCCGCCCCTGCCCACATTTAGTCCCACCTTTTTTTCTTGTGCACTTGTATGTATTTTAATTTATTGTGGTGACATTGGCTGATGGAATTACACAGGTTTAAGGTGTACAGGTCTATGATAAGCCATCTGTGCACCGTATCGTGCTCACCACCCCAAGTCGAGTCTCCTTCCATCACCGTTTATCTCTGCTTTGCCCTCTTCTGCCTCCCCCGCCGCCCTTCCGTCTGGTGAGCACCGTGCCGCTGTGTCTGTGAGGGGTTTTTTGTTTGTGGGGGTTTTTTTGGGGGGTTGCCGAATCCCGTCCCCTTTTCCACCCAGTCCCACAAGCCCCTGCCCCTGACAACTGTCAGTCTGTTCTCTCTGAGTCTGTATTTTGTTTATATTCTTCATTAGAGTCCACGTATGAGTGAAATCATACCATACTTGTCTTTCTCTGACTGGCTTACTTCACTTGGCATAATAATCTCTAGGTCCGTCCACGCTGTTAGAAAGGCGAGAGCTCCTTCTGTTTCGCAGCCGAGTCGAGTCCACCGTGTAGATGTACCGCGGCTCCTCTGTCCACTCTTCCACCGACGGGCACTCGGACTGTACCCGGGTCTCGTCTATTGCAGTAACGCTGCAGCGAGCATAGGGGCGCATACATTCTTTCTGATGGGTGTTTTGGGTTTCTTCAGATACGTTCCCAGAAGTGGAGTCCCTGGGTCATAAGGCAGGTCCATTTCTAACTTTCTGAGGTGTCTCCACACTGCTTCCCGCCGTGGCTGCGCGCGCCTGCCCTCCCCCCAGCGGCCCACGAGGGCCCCCTGTCCCCGCAGCCTGGCCAGCACCTGTCGGTTGGTTTACTGAGGACAGCCGTTCTGGCAGGTGTGAGGCGATACCTCACTGCGGTTCTAATTTGCGTCTCTCTGATTGATGTTGAGCATCTCCATGTGTCCACTGGCCCTCTGTATGTCCTCTTTGGAGAACAGTCTGTTCAGGTCCTTTGCCTATAAAACTGAAGTTCTCGCCTTGAACTATGGCGAATACTCGATTTTGAACGTGCGGTTTCAGTAGTTTAAATTCCGCTTGTTAGGATCAGCGAAATCAGAACATGGGGGCAGCGTTGGGAACTCGGTCAAGGTGAGAGAGGTCAGCACGCCCCCTCCAAGCTGAAAGGGGGCCCCAGGCCGGCTGCCCACCCCCCCCCACGTTGGCTCTGCCACCAGCTGCAGCCCCTCCTCCCCCATTCCCATGTGCCCGCCCCGCGCCGGACCTGCCGCCCGTCCTGCAGGCTGTCTCTTCCTCAGTGCCGGCCGCGGGGCCCTTCCCGCCTCCCTGAGCAACCTTGTCCGCCGGGCGCTGCCGGCCAGCGGGGCCCTGGGCCCCTCCCTGGGCGCGTGGGGGCCTGGGTTCCCACCCTGGGAGCGGAGGTCAGTGGTGCTGCCCCGTTCAGGTGGCGGCTGACGCGGTCCTCGCGGTCCCCGGGCGGCGGGCGCTGTTCCCCATGTCACACAGCGGCACCCGTGCGGCCAGCTACTCGGCACGCGCAGGAGGCCCTGGAGGGAGCCCCGGTCAGGGCTGCCCGCCTTCTGGTCCTCGCCCTCCATGACTGCCACATCAGTCCGCCCCGCCCGTCACCCTGAGCCTCCCGGGGCCTGTCCTGGGGCGCGCCCCCCCCCGGCGCTGGGCCTCCCCGCCCGTCCCCCTTGGCCGCTCCGCAGCTCAGGGGCACGTGCTCCTGCACCTTTGCCCCCGAGTGGCACTTAGCGGGCCCTGCCTCTCTCCCTGCGGAGCTGCTTCGCCTCCCTGGCCGCAGGTACCGCCTGCGTTCCCCACAGGCTGTGAGTGAGTGACAGGTGGTCACGTGTAACAGTCACATCGCTGGCTGTTGGCCCACCCGTGCCAGGCCCTGGCTCAAGGGCTCTGTGAATGACCTCCTTTGATCTCCACAGCCGCTCCGTCATTGTCCCCACGTCAAAGGCATGAAGGGATCTGCTGTGGCTCCTGTAGTCAGTGAGGGAGTGAGTGGCACCCAGGGTTCAGACTTGGTGCCCGTGGCCTGAGCCCCCGCGCAGAAACGCCCTCCCCCGAGCGCACCTGGCTTCCGGGCATCCGCGGCCCGCCGCCTCTGGCTGACCTCCATGCCACGTGCAGGGTTTGGGGCCAGGCCTGGAGTAGCTGGGTACCCCGAGCCCGGCCCCCGCTGCCGTGTGTGAGGCCCCACGCACCGGGAGGCGGGCCACGCCTGCCCGAGGGCCGGCTGCTGCAGGCGGACCTCAGGGAAGCACATAGCAGCAGGGGGCAGAGGTTGGCGAACGCCTTCCTAGGCAAAACTGGGTGGGTGCAGGGGCTGCCAGCTCAGAAACCAACACCCAAGGTGTGGCACCGGCCACAAAGGCAAGAGGGAACGAGAGGCGCCAGCGTGGGTGAAGAGGCAAGGTGACACTGCGTGGATGGAGAGAAGAGCTATTGGTCTCCAGGTGGACCAGAGGAAGGGCACCTCCAGGTGGCCCAGCAGATGGAAGCCTTGGAGCCAAAGCAAGTCCACAGATGGGGCCGAGTGAAGCTCCGCAGCCCTACCCAGCGCCCAGGGACTCGGCGATGACTTCCGGTCCCCAGGGGTTTCTGAGCTCCCACGGCTGCCCGCGGGGAGCCGGCCGCCCCCCGCAGTCAGCTTGCTCTAGGACAGACCGCCAGCAGGCCACACCAGGGCCCCGCCTTCCCAGGACACCTGAGCCCTTTGGGGTCCCCTGTGCACGGAGGGGTGGCGGCCTTCGTCCTGAACAATGCAACATAGCAAGGTGTCCCTTACTGATGCCAGAGTCTCAACAGTTTTTCTTAAATTGCTCCAACCAAAAACCCACGTTGAAGGGGCGGTTTAGCTGGAGGTTAGGAACGGGAGAACTGAAATGTTCTAGGCCTTGTTTTCCTTTTCTGTGACCAAGGTTCAAAAGGGCGCCCAGCACCTATCCCCTGGCTTGAGCATGGAAATAGTTGCCTGGACTAATCATGCCAATAAAAGAAACAAATGGCCATAGGCAGTTAGACCCATTCTCTTGACATGCGAACTTTTACTATCTTTTCCTCTTGGTGAACGTATGAGTTTTTAAAAATCAGAATGCCCCCGTTCCAGTGCTCATTGTATAAAATTTATAAACTACAGAAAAGCACAAAGAAAATAAAAGTCATACTTGTGCCACCCAGAAGAGAAGTCCTTCTTCATATTCTGGCCTCCCCTATTTTACCAGCGAGCACCCGGAGGCTTTGAGGGCTGCGGGGTTTGTTCCAGGCCCAGCCAGAGGAGCGCCGAGTCCTGGTCGGCCCGGGGCCAGAGCCTGTGTTCCCCAGCACCGCCCGGTCTTCTCCCAGTTAGTACGTCTGTCCTCAGCCTTTGGGTGGAATATGAGAAGGCTTCATCGATTGAAAAATTGGGGAGGGGGCACATTAATTAGTTAAAACATGCACCTATTTAGTCATTGGTTTTTTAAATAAAACTCCAGGAGCCTCCGAAAGGACTGCAGTGCGAGCCGTAGGAGCCGGTTCCACGGCGGCGCTCCTGGCGCCGGTCCTGGGGTGCCGCGGCGGCCGCCGCTGAGCCGCCTCCCTCCGGGGCCGCGTCTCCTGGCGCCCTGTCACCATAGCGTTGGCATGACTCATCGCCCTGGCACTGAGGCTGTCTCAACGTTTAAAACATAAAATGCGCAAATTGGGGTGCATTAACTCTGATCCTATTTTGTGGACAGGTGTCCCCGACCAGTGGCAAAATCTGAGTTGCGGCTGCAGATGAATTCACATAATTTAAAAATCCCAAATGTCCTAAGTCGCCAAAACCCAATTCTCATTAAGCGATGGAAGACTGTCCTTTTCAGATGCCCTGCGAGTGTTGCCAAAACGCAAACCACCTCCCGTAGCACAGAAGGGGACACTTGGACTCAGACCCATTTTCTAAAGTCTAGTTTCAGGTACCAGCTCACTCAAGTTTTACGGTAGCTGCGTTTCTCAGGCCTTGCACTTTTTGACAAGGAGAAGAAAAAAATCTTACGCCTTTGATTTTAGCATTCATAAAAATAATCTTTGTCCTAAAGGTTTCTAGTCCTAGAAAAGAAGGCTCTGTATCAGTAGGGTGGTCCTTCCATGACGACAAGCGTGCCTCCCTGTCAGCTCCCGCATTGGTTCCTCTTGAGGAGCCCTCTTTCTGCCTGTAGTTATTTTGGACTTGGCAGTAGTCAGGATCAGTGCCTGACGTATACAACATGCAGTCGAGAAACACTTATTTTCAGGGAACGAGCCTGGCGTTATTAATATATTTAACAACTGTATTGAGCGCCAGTGATACGCTAGGCACTGTGCTGGCTACGAGGGTGGATGGTAAACCCAAAGTCCTTGCCTCCTGCGCCCTTTGCCTCATCGGGGCTCAGAGAACTAAGCAGACAGTCACAAAGCAGTGGGTCAAAGGCTGGCGCGGGGCTGACCGCGGCCTTCCCCCAAGATCGGGGAGAGGGCGGGTGCTTCCTCCAGGCGGCCTGCCTGAAACAGTGGACGTGTTGCTATTTCATGATCGAGCTCTCCTGTAATCTAATTAGAAAGAAGCTTGTTATGAAGTAATCAAGAGTACCTTCTAATTAATTGTACCGCTGTCGCATGCGGTAGCAGAGTTTAAGGGTGGCTCTGACCCTTACAGCCTCTTCACCGCCCTTAGTGCCTTCGTGCCGTTGGCAGCCGGCGAGCCGCTGAGGTCAAGGCCCCGGACGGCACGTTCGCTCTGACCCGCACAACTGCCAATATGTCCAAGTCAGCTGAAGGCACCTCTTCTGCCCGCAGTGAACCAGAGGGGTGGACGCTTCCAGAAGCAGCTCGCTTGGTGAAGCGCCAGGCGCGTGGCTGGTTTCGCTCTGAAGTCTCCCCAGCCACAGAACGCAGAGTTGCTTTTCATTGGAGGCTCAAAGAAAACAATGTTCTATGTGAAGTGATTTCCTTCTTCACTCTGGCCTCCACAAACAGGGAGGGAAAAGACAAAAATGTCTTTTACCAACAGAAAATGTAGAGGATAAGGAGCGTGCAAGTCAGAAGTCAAAGCCTTTTACGCCCCTCATGGTTGTGTTGTTTGTCTGGTAGGGTAAGTATCTGATTATAAAAAGTGTATTCAAGGTGTGGGTGTGGAAGTAAAAAGGAATTTTAATCCACCTTTATTGGCATGAAAGGAAAAACACTTCAGAGAACAAAGTCATCGGAAGGGTCGCTGTGACGCCCTCACAGCCAGCAGGGCCATCTGCCTGGAGTGGGGCCTCTGCCACGAAACAGGTGTTCAGCGCCAGAAAAAAGACGGCCTGCCCTTCCTGTGCCCCCCTTCAGCTTAGGCTCGGGAGAATGCTTTTAGCCCCGCATCTGCACACCTCAAAAGTTCACCTAAGATTAAGGAGAGATCAAACCAAGCCTCTAGCTCCAAAAGCATCAAAGAAAACAGAAAACGTTAACCCCTGGTTCTGAATTAAGGAGATAGGCCTGTCGGGTATTTCTTCCAGTGACCCAGGAACAACAGGTGTTTTGATGTTTGATACAAAATAAAACCACGTGCACAGGGAGGGCCTGTCGCCTGCGGAGAGCCAAAGGCTCCCGGGCAGCGTCTCCGCGCCGTCTATTTCGCACCTGGCAAAACACAGCCATCATTGTTTCCACTAGGAAACAAAATGCCCCTTATTGGTACAGATCAATGCGCTCCTTTAGGGGACCCAAGAAGACATTTCATTAGAATTGAAGACTGCCATCGAGCCAGGAACGAACACCTGTGGCGAAGCAGACTGAGCCTCCTTTCACGGGAAAGGGGGAAGGTGGAGGAACACCAGATCCCTTCCTATATAGCGTTTCTCCCATTTGCTGGATATCTTTTGTTACCCCAGAAGCTGGGCTACTTACATACAAACCAATTTTAGGTCAGTCTAAGGGAACTAGTGAGCTTTGAGTTGGGACTGACGCAGACTACACAGTTTAATAATTCAAAGGGATTTAATAATAGCACAGAAATGTGGGGGTGCCCTGCACCTTGGTTGAAGCCCCCCACCCGTGGAAGAGGAAAAGCTCTCCCTCACTCTCAGGTCATTGAAATTGTGGGATTGCTCAGATACAAATAGGCTTTTGACAGCTTCGTATGAGGAGTATGTGCATGACCTTGTTTGTTTTGCTGGACCTGTTTTACTTCACCCCATCTAAAACTGACTGCTAACCCAATTTTGTGCTCCGCCCTCACTTGGAAGCTGAAAATTTATGAGATAAACACAAAATGTAGTTCCATCCTAAATATCATAGGCCTTAAATAAAGGATGGCAAGAAAAAAAAAAGGAGACTAAAAGTTAACGAAGGGGGACCCTTGCTGGGCTGAAGCCAGGCGGCTGCGGTCAGGAGGGGAGGAAGGCCTTGGCCTCCCGGATCTTCTGCTTCACGCCCCTGCGGGACAGAAGGAGCCCGGCGTGGTGGCGCTTCAGGGCGTCTAGGCGCTGCTTGAGCGCCTCGGCCTCGCCCACCTTCTCCTCCATGTCGCGGAGGAGGGCCTCCTTGCCCAGAAGCCCGCACTTCTGATTCAACTTGATGTTGTCGCTCCGCAGGCTGTCCCGAGCTTGCTTAGTCTTGGTCAAGATGTCCCTCCTTAGGGCCACTTGAGTGTCAATGTCCAAAAGCTGTGACTTTTTGCATGCATTTTCCATGTCCACGAAGTGTAACATTTCTTTCACATGGGTAATTATTTGCACATTGTTGTTCACTTTGTTGCGCAGTTTCAAAAGCTCCTCATTTCGCTCCTCAACTTTCTCATTGAAGGTCCGGTTCTCGATCTTAAGCTGTTCAAAATCGATGAAGAGCAGCCCGTCAACCGTGTCCTCTTGCGCCCTCATCCTGGTCTCAAAGTGCGCCAGACTCTGCTTCAGTTGCACGTTCTCTAATCTCACGGCGCTCATCTCCTTCTCCTTCTTCTCCTCCAGCGCCTGGAGCTGCTCCACCTCCCGGAGAGCGGCCTGGCGGCCGCCCCACATCCTACAGCTGCCCATGACCTGCATCATCACCTGCTTCTTGAGTGCCTGGAAGCTTCGCCATTCCTTCTCCACTCTGGAGAGCTTCTCGTTGCACTGCTGCTTCAGCTGGCCCAGCTCCTGGCGGTACCAGTCCAGGTCGTCGGCCCGCTGCTTCCTGAGCTCCTCCAGCACGGCCAGGTAGCTGAGGTATGCGCGCTCCTTCTCGGGGGCCTCGGGCTCCGGGCCCACATCGGGCACCTCGGCAGCATCCAGGCCCTTCTTCCTGCGCAGCGCCAAGAAGATCTTGTGCTGCAGGTAGACGTTGTAGCGCTGGTAGTGGCCCCGCTCCACCAGCAGGGAGCGGTACTGGTCTAGGAGCTCAGAGCGCAGCTGATGCTCCTGCCGCCTCTGCACCTCCTCCGTCCACTCCAAGTCCTCGTACTGCAGGCCCTCGTCCAGACCCTTCTGCTCGGAGTCTCCTGTCACCCCGCTTCCTTCTGCACTCTTCTCCTCGCTCTCCTCGCTCCCTGCCTCCTCCTCTGGTCCCTTCCGCTCAGCCTCCGGGGCTGGCGCCGCCTCCTCCTGGCCGGTCGTGGACAGCGGCGGAGAGACCCTCGACGAGGCTTTCTTCCTCCCTGCCGCCTCCGCGGCTGCCGCCGCCTCCGCCTCCTCGTCCTCCGGCGCCTCCTCCCTCTCCTCCTCCTCGGGTTCCTCGGGCCCGCCTGCGGGCCCCGGCTTGGCTGGCTCCTCTGGCCCGGACTCGGCCGACTCCTGCCGCTCTCCGGGCCCCTCCTCGCCCTCCGCCTCGGTGGCCGCCGGCCCTCCCCGGGGCTCGGCGAGCTCGGCAGGCTTGTCCGACTCGGTCGGCTCGAGGGGCTCGGCCGCGGCGGCGCCTCCCTCCGAAGTCTCTACGGCTTCCGGCTCCGGCTCCGCGGGCTCGGCCGGAGACTGGGGGCCAGAGCTGGCCTTGATCCCGGACAGCCGCGAGGCCAGGCTCACCACATCTCCGTCATCCGGCGCTGAGGCTCCAGTGGGCTCGGAGGGGTTGTCCATCTCTCACTGGCTCTGCCAGCGCCGCTGGACCCGGCGGCAGACTGTTGGGTTTCCAGGGGCAACCAAGAAGCGCTCACGGTGGGCCCGGTGATTGGCCAGACGTCAGTCGGACACCCTGCTCCCTTCTCTCCTCCTTTAAAACCAATGAGAGGCCGCAGGCGGACGACAGGCACCGCTGATTGGACGAGGGCGTAGGCTCGCGCCTCGGGGGGCGTGGCGCGCCTGCCACGCTCGCTTTCCGTCCGTTTCCCAGCGTTTGGCCCGGGGCGTGGCGTTAGGAGGTGCTGGGAGGGGCGGGCGGCCGGCGCGAGGGGCGCGCAGGCGCAGAGCGGCGGGCCGGGCCCCGCGCGGTGGCGCGCGCGGGGCGCCTGCGCGATGCGGCGGAGCGACGGCGGCGGCGGTGGCGGCCGGTCCAGGCCCGAGGGCGCCTGCGTGCTGAGGCGGGACGCGGCCCGGCTGGCCGGCTCCGGCGGCGCCTGGGCGGGGCAGCGCGGCGGTGACGGGCCCGGCATCGGCGGCGGCGGCGGGCGGCGGTTGCTGGAGCGCGGCGGCGGCCCGGGCGGCGCCGAGGGCAGCGGGCGCGGCGGCGGCGGCGGCGGCGGGCGCGGGCGGCGGGCGGGGGAAGATGGCGGAGCTCGGTAAGAAGTACTGCGTGTACTGCCTGGCCGAGGTGAGCCCGCTGCGCTTCCGCTGCACCGAGTGCCAGGACATCGAGCTGTGCCCCGAGTGCTTCTCGGCTGGCGCTGAGATCGGCCACCACCGCCGCTACCACGGCTACCAGCTGGTGGACGGCGGGCGCTTCACGTTGTGGGGGCCCGAGGCCGAGGGCGGCTGGACCAGCCGCGAGGAGCAGCTGCTGCTGGATGCCATCGAGCAGTTTGGCTTCGGAAACTGGGTGAGCGGCGGGCCCTGCGCGGACGCGGGAGGGAGACGCGGCGGCTTGGTCCTCTCCTCGGTCAGTACGGCCGCGAGGCGCACCTGCTTGGTCCGTGCCCAGTACGGCGGCTGGGGAGCCTGAGGGTCCGGGAGGGGGGATGCCGGGGGGTCGGGGGCAGGCGCGGTTCGCACGGGAAACCGAAGCGCGGAGAGTCGAAGCAGCCTGCGCAAGGTCACACAGCCAGGAAGTAGCAAAGCAGGGGTTTGGACCATGGCTTTCTGGCAGCAGAGCCATTTGCTAAACCGTTAGGGATACTTCATGGGTGTTTGCTGAGTGCAGACTTTGGGCAAGACCCGGCACCGCCGTCCTTGATGGAGTAGGAGCTGGTGGCCGCAGGCGGTTGAGCCACCCTGATAGGGCCGCAGGAGCGCTGGGGAGCGAGCTGGTTGTGCCTGCGGAACGGTGGTGGTGGAGGCTAGGCAAGCCTCGCACCTTCCCCGGTGGCTCCTGCCACCATCCCTGATACACTCTGCACTCGTGGTCCCGCTCGCTTTGTGTGTTGTCTCTGCGGGTAGAGGCCCTGTGTCCCTCGCGGTGGACTGGGGTATCCTGGGCCCTGGCAGCAGCCAGGACATTTTGCAAGGGGTGGTCAGTAGGCACTGTCCAGAGGCGTACGGGCTGGGAGGCATTTGTCCTGGGTGTTGTTCTCCATCAGAAGGATCCTGTAGAGGCATTTGTCGGACAGGAAAAGGTGAGAGCTGGCGTGGACCTACTGACTCCAGCCGGGCAGAGGGCTGGGCTCCTTGGGAGAGGTGTGCGGTGCTCCCCTCTTGAAGGGCTCGAGCTGCCCATTCCTCTGGCCAGAGGAAGCCTCCCTCCGCATTAGAAAGGAGACACATCCACCTGTGTCCTGACCCAAAATGCCCAGGGTAAGCGGCGGCCCCCAGCCTTGTGAAAAGCAGGGAGGAGAGACACGACCCCAGCCCTGCACCTTTCCAGAGCCTTCCACGTGTTGGGCCCCTTCTTCCCTGAGCCAGCAGTTGGTCTTGCCCCTTCTCCAGAAGCCCTCCGCTCCTGCTGGCTCCCAGTGGAAGACCTCCATGCGACTCCCCTCGTCCCCAAACCTGGCCACTCCCCTTTTCTTTTGCTTCCTTTCTATAAAGTGAGCCCATCTTCAGGGACCAATACCCATCCTGCGCCCTGGACCTCTGTCCCTCTCCCTACTCCTTTGACACTGCTCTGCAGATACCCACATGCTCTCATGGGATTGCCGCTGTCCCTTTGTCCTGAAGTGCTGTTTGTTGATGTGTATTGAACACACTATACAGCAGTGAGAGGTTGTGAAGGGAAGAAAGGCTTCGTCCTTGTCTTGGAGGGTTGTCATCATGGGGTCCTGAGACTGGAGCTCTTCCCCCGCTCAGCCTTCAACGGGAAACCGCTGCTCAGCGTCCTGAACTGCTTGCCTCAGGGACACCTGGGACCCGTCTCACAGAGCCTCACGCAGCGACTCGGACCCAGAGCCGCCCTCAGCCCCTCCTCCCAGGTCCAGCTCCGCAGCCTGTCCTCAAAGCAGTTCCAGGGTCGAGCCGCCTCTCGCAGCCGTAGCCAAGGCGGCCGTTTCTCTCTCGGCTCAACCGCTTCCTGAGCCTCCCGGGTGGTCTCCCTGCTTCGGCCTGGAGCCCCGTGGCTCACTTCACACGCCATAATCAGAGTGCTCTTTGAAGACATGTCACATCACATCCCTTCAGTGGCTTCCAGATCTGCTTAGATTAAACTTCACAGCGTGCGAGGCCTCACAGTGTCTGCTGACCTGTGGTATCTCAGCTGACACCTCCTTGATCGTTTTTTATTTCTTCTGCTTAGGGGCCTCTTCTCCCTGATGATGGTTTGTGACTGGTCTTTCTTCTTCTGAGTCAGTGCCTTAGACAGAAATTCCTTCCCCACATCACCCTTCTAGCACGTCGCTCTCGAGCAGCAGCTGAAATAGCTGCGTGGCTGTGGGCCTTGCTGAGGGCCAGGCGCTGTGCATGCCTCCTGAAGCTTTCCCGGCAGCCTGCGCGGCAGGTCGAGCTGAGTGGTTGGACTCCTGAGCCTGTGCTCCTAGCTGCACTGTCTGCACTGCCTGCCCTGCAGCCTTGTGGGAAGCTCACGAAAAGCGAGCCCAGGGACTGCGACATTCGTGCTGCTGTGGAGGAAGCGTGGGGCTGGAAGGCGGGCATTGTATTTCTCAAACATTAACGTGCACACGAGTCGCTGGGGGTGCTGGTTAAGCCGCACGCCCCACTCAGAGCCATGCGAGCTCTCGGAGGAGACACAGCTGGAGGAAGCGGTACTTGGGCCTGGGGGCCGGGGGCCTTCCCCTGGCAGGTTCAGGGGGAGGCTGGGGCTCTGCGTGCTGACCTCGCCCGGATAGGCCACACTGAGCCACAGGGCCGTAGCGTCTCTCTGGCTGTGCTCTCTTGGGTCCCTGCCTTAGCTTCGACGTTTCACGTGCAGCTCTGAGATGTGTGGCTCCCTCTGAGGGATTTGCAGACACGCGCCCATGCGTGTTACGTCTCATGCATGCCGCGTTCAGCACGTGCGGGTTCTGGGTCGTTCTGCACAGCAGCTGTGGAGTGGCTTCTTAGTGTCCTCGTGTACAGGTGAAGAACGGTGACTCTGACAGTTTCAAATACTTGCCCAGACTGCCCTGACTTTTCACGTGGCCAGACCAGGGTTCAGATGCAGGCCCATCGATTCTGGAGGCGGCGCCCTGACCGGAAGGTGTGGCTAGGCTGGAGGTGCTTCTCAGCACAGCGGAGCCTTGACCTGGTTCCTCGGGAGGCCAGTGTGCAGGGCAGGGAGGGTGACCTGGTGGCGGGAGTCAGGCTCACGGCTGGGTGTGGAGTGCGGAGAAAGGTTAGCCTGAACCGCGGGGACGGCGATGTGGAGGGAGGTGAAGCTGTCGTTCTGATTTCTCAGAAGGCGTGGGATGTGTGGCCTCAGGGCTGTGCTGCTTTGTGTGGAGTTCATGGGGACAGGGCGATGTCAGAAAACCCCAGGGACAGGCTGTTGCTGAAGTCTGGCCCCGTTGGCCCCCACTTTGCCCTGGGAACAGGCGTGGCCGAGGAGGGCCTGGGGACGAGCGGGCCGGCCAGGCCCTGGCACCCGGCGCCCGTGCGTTTGATGGGAGCGGCGGGGGGGGGGGGGGGCGGGAGCGCTGGCTCACAGCTGCTGGGCCGGGGGCTTTGGCCGAGCGCCTCAGGGCCGCTGTGTTGCGCTGAGTGCTGTGCGGGTCCTGCTGGGACTTCAACACAGACAGAAACGCACCGGGAAACAATTGACGGCAGTGGGAGACAGTGGTAGAGTAGCCGTGGACTTCCTGCGCGTCTGCCGGGGGACGGGACAGTTGGAGGGAGGCCACGCTCCTGCAGGTGGTGGTCAGAAGGACGTCTGGGGCGAGGGGGTTGAAGCCAGCTTTGGAGCTAGGCCGGGAGTTTAAAAAACAGGTGGAGCTCCCTGTCTCCTGCGCAGCCCGTGGCAGCCAGGCATGCGGCTCGCTAGCCCAGGCCCTGGGAGGGGGCGTCCAGGCAGCGGTGGGAGGCTTGGGGAGAAGCCGCGTGGGAAGCCAGCCTTCCTGGGGGGAGCGGGGTGTCCGTGCAGGGGCCAATGAGTGTGACGCGGTGACCTAGAGAGGGTGTCACCCGGGGGCGCAGTGAGAAGGGTGTTGGTGGCTGGGAGGATGGCCAGCGCCAGGGCTCACAGGCTGAGTGGATAAGGAGGACACCTGTGTGGCAGGGGCGGCAGGCAGTCCCTGCCCACGCAGGTGAGGAAAATGAACGACCAGGGAACAGCGCAGAGCTAAACCCAACACGTGGTTCTGAGCTGGGTCCTTCGCCAGCGAAGGGTGTCGTTAGGGCGATGGGCAGAACTTCAGTGGGAACGGAGATTTAGATGATAATGTATCTTCATAATTTTCTAAATTTGATGGTGATACTGTGGTTCATAGGAGAATGTCCTTGTTTGTAAGAAAGTTACACAAAATCACTTGCAGGTGATATTGTGTGAGGTTGCAGCTTAATTGCAAAATGGTAAAAAAAGAAAAAAAATTTTTAAGTATGTGTAATTCTCAGCAGACTGGGCAGGGCCTGGTGCCGGCGCCCAGGCGTGCCGGCCAGCTGCTGGAGACATGTGGCCGGAGCGCTGCCTTCTGCAGCCGCAGCGGGCATCGGGGAGGCCGGCCCCAGCTGATCAGCAGATGACGCCTGCGTGGTGCGCGTTCACTCCTTCCGCACTGACACAGGGCCCGCTCTGCACGGGCGGGGGTCCATCCAGCCCGTGCCGTGTGGTGGAGCATGGATAGAGGTGGGACAGCTGGGTCACCTTGAATGGGGCTGTATGGTTGCATGGACTCGGTCTTGCTCGGGGGGTGGGCAGCAGAGAACGCTTTCCAGGTGAAGGACAGCGTGGACCGGGGGCTTTCCGCGTCCCTGGAGGCTGGTGTGTCCAGGAGCCAGGTAAAGCCAGGTCACCTGAAGTGGAGGATTCAGGTTGGGAACAGGCAGGCAAGGGTGTACGGGGTCACATTGTAAAATCTGTGAGTGCCAGGCCACCAGGTCATAGTGGGGTTGGGAAGCTGACTCAGACTGAGCTCTTGCTGAGTGTGCAGAGCACCAGGCTCTAAGCTGGGCCCCTGGCGTTGACGCTTGCTCCCCGGTCACGGCCCCCTGGTCCCTCACTTACAAATGAGGAAGCAGCCGTAGGCTGTGAAATAATTGGAGGTAGGCCTGACTCTTCCTAGAACCTTCTATTCATTGGTTCCCTAGCTGCACAGCAGAATCACCTGAGGCCCCCCAGATTCCCAGGGACCACCCTAACCTGAATTGGCATTTCTGCGGGGGAGACCGGAAACGGCAGTTACGGGGGTTCTGACACAGGGCCCCTGGGACCACATTGAGGGACCGCGAGAGCGGTCGCCCGTCGCTGAGCCGTGGGACTGGGGAAGCCCGCCCCAGGAGCGCCCTGACAGCGGGGCGCTCGGGAGTTGCTCTGGAGGGTGGGGAGGAGGGGGAGGGCCTGGGTGGACATGTGGCCGGAGTGAGCAGGGCCGGGCAGAGCAGCGGCGCCCGTGTCAGCAGGCCCCCGGTGGGCCGGGGAGCGCACGTGCGCGCGGCTCAAACAGCCCCCGTGAGGGGCGCTGCTGCTGCTGGCTCAGGGGCCCCGCCTCAGGAACCGCCGGCGTGGAGCCGCGCCTGCCACCGTAAAATATTTTTCTTTGTTTTATATTTACAAAGACACTATTATTGTGCTAAAATACATAGAACATGAAATACATCATTGCAGCCATCGTTAAGTGCACAGGTCAGAGGGATCAAGGACGTCCCGGCGGTGCCAGCTGGGCAGCAGCACCACCGTTGCCTCCAGAACGTCCCCCTCCCAGACTGAAGCCCAGTCCCCATCAAGCACTGACTCTCGCCCCTCCCCCAGCCCCTGGAACGGCCAGCCTGCGTCCTGACTCTCGGGGCCTCAGAGACATGGAGTCACACGCACCGGCCTTGCTGGCACTGGCCCGTTGCCTGCAGGCTGGCCCCTGTGGCGGCGGGGTCTGGAGCCACCGTCCTTGAGGCAGGATCCACCGTGTGGACGGACCTCGTTTTGCTCCCCGCGCGCCCGCTGACGGGCACTTGGGCTGCTTCCGCCCGGCTGCCAGGAGTGATGCCCAGCGTCTGCATCCCAGGCAGGCCCGCAGCACGGCGGCCGTGACCTCGAGCTCGATGCGCACCCTTCCTGTGCACCTGGGCAGCTCCGCGCGGGGGCATCCTGGGTGCCCCTGTGGGCACCGGTCATGTCCCTCCTCACCCCCAGCTCTGGACCATGAGGCACAGGCAGAGGCCTCGGGGCTGGTTTTGTTCCCCAAGTGCTTTGGAGCCGGGGGTGGCGGTGGGGAGCGTTTTTTCTTTAAGTGAAGAAGCTTCAAAGGGGCAGAAGCAACCAGAAGGCCCACCGCACAAAGCTGTGGCTCCAGGGAGCAGCGGCAGGAGCAGCAGAAAGCCTCGCGCAGCGGGGGTGGGTGGGGGCGGGGAAGCAGGGCCTGCACAGGGCCTAGGAGGCAGTCTCCGAGGGGTGTGGTGTGTCCTGGAGGATGAGGCGGGACTGGGGACCGCCCCCGCTGGAGGCGGGCGAGGCTGGAGCCGCCAGGGTAGGGCGTCTGTGTCCTGGGCAGCGTGCCGAGGAGTTCGGCCAGCCCGGCAGGTGAGTGCGGCCCTGCCACATGGAAAGGAAATACTGTGAAAACTAACATAGAATTGCTTGCTCTAAGTTTGCCAAGTAGGGATATTTAAAAAGTTTTTTAAAAGATCTAATTATCACCACTTCACAAAAAGAAAGACTGTCTTAATGTGTTCTCCCCGCGCCCCTCCCCCCCAGTAAGGATGTAATCTTGGAATGAAGGACCATCTTTCAAGTTCACCCTGGACCCTAGGCCAGCCTGGCCTGAGGGCGGCAGGTTTGCCGATGGAGCCTCTCAGGGGCGGCACGTGCGGGGCAGCCCCAGCTGGGCAAGCGCCGCTGGAGGGAGCCCGCTGCCCCACGTGGACGGCGGTTTCTCGGAGCTGTCCTCCTCCTTTCCCTGCTCAGGTGCCAGAGGCCCGTGCAGGCGAGCCATGAGGAGGGGGCGGGAGGCCAGGGCAGCCGGAGAGCCTGGTGTGGTCGCCACCCCGCAGGAGGCTGGCGTCCTTCCCCGGAGAGGCTGCATCCTGGCCTGCGTGTAGCGACCTTCGAAAGTAGACCCGGTGGGCCTTGTGTGGCTTAGAAACACCTTCGCCCTTGTTTTCAAAGGATTTAAAGAAGCAGCATACCTGTTTCTCTTACTGTTTTCCAAAGATGGGAAGTCTTTTTCTTTTTTTTTTTTTAAGACAACAGGAAGGGAAAAACAAGCGTGGAGTCCGGCCCCGTGGGCTTTGGCCCCGCACCCGCGGGAGCTGCGTGCTGCGGCGGGAGGGGCCCGCTGCGGCGCACCGTGTGTTCCCTGCTCTGTTGTGCTCCAGCCACACGTTCTCCCCAGGCCTCTTCCCCCGACACACTGAAGTGACTCCCACCTCCCTGTCGGTCTAGCCGTCAGTCCTTCCGTTCAGATCAAGCAGAAACTTTGACCTCGGACCGTGTGAGGGAGAGAGCCACCCTCCCAGCCTGTCGGCCGCTGTCCTGTGAGGCACCGTGATACGGGGACAGGACACCTCCCCTGCGGGGGGGCGACAGCAGTCCCTGGCTGTGAAGACCGGGGAGAGCACTCAGCACACGGTTGGGCGCAGTAGCTGGTGCGGCATTTAATCGTCAGTTTACCTTTCTTTGCTGTGACTTCGTGGAACCTGTCTGTCCTCTGTGGGTTTCTGTAAGAATCCGAACTCTGCTCTTCGTGTGCAGGCTGGTCCATTGCGACCCTCACTCTCCATTTTACAGACCTTGAAAATTGGGGGCTGGTGTGGTCTCCTGGCCTTTCTGACTCATCCGTGCAGCGCGGTCCCTCAGAAGCAGCCGCCGGCTCTGGCTCCCGGTGCGGCCTCGGCGTCCTTGAGCAGTGCCCGAGGCTGACTGGCGGGAGTTCCTGGGGTCCTGGTGACAAGCCCCGCTGGTTCGTGGCTTCATAAATAACCATGGCGAGCAGAGTCCCCTTGCTAGCAAAAGAGGACCCGGGCAGCCCAGACGTCAGCACGGTGCCCGCAGCTGGCTGGCCCGCTGACCCCGGCCAGGAACTGACTGGCGTGCAGCCTATGGGGAAGACACCTGGTGCTGGGCAGGGTGGTGGCAGCGGTGCCGGAGTGTGACCCGCCATCCCCTGCCCTGGCCCAGCCCTGAGGCTGCCTTGCGGCCTCCATTCTCTGCTCTGTTCCCAGAGCATTCACGTTGATGGAAGTAACTAGAAAAATATAAACGCATCATCTCTCTTTGGTCAGACACCCTTTTTTGCTTAGAATCCTTTTGTTCTTTCTGGACTGAAGTTTTATCCAGACGTGGCGCCCCGAGCAGCCGATGAGCTCTGGAGGCGGATTGCCGGGGCCCTGGGCTGGCGGCGGGCGGGCCGGCGGGTCTTCTCACGGGGCCTGAGTTCCCGACCCTGAGACTGTGGTTCACGCCAGCGCCTTGTCCTGAGGCTTCCGGGACGCTGGATTCTGAAGCTGTCGTGGCTGCAGCCGTGGAGAAGCTGGTGGGCTTGGCTCAGCTACGCCTGTGGCCCCCGCCTGGTGCGGGGCACCCAGAGGGGGGAAGTGGCCAGCCTGGGCCACACACAGTGGCAGTAGATGCTGGGAATGCCTGTGACTTGGGTTGGGGTTTTGTTGTTGTTGTTTTGGATCAATTGCTTCCTGAGAAAATATAATGAACAAATTTGATGATTATAGTGATTTTTTAAAAGAAGAAAGCACGCACACAATTCATCCCCATGAGACCAGGATCTCATGTTCACTCTGGTCCTCCCTTTTCTCCTGGTAGGTCCCAGTATGGCCGCCTCTGTCCCTGTGCCGTCAGCTCCAGCCTCGGCACCCGGCGCCTGGTGGGAGAGGGCCCCAGGTGTGGGGCCTGGTCACCGCACCACGGACACCCCCCTCCCTGCCCCTCTGCGCCCACTCTGCCGTCGCCCCGCCTGCGTGCACTGGCTGGTTTCAGGGGCTCCAGCTGGGCCTTTGGGGGCGCAGAGACCCGCCCCGCCCTCCCGCGGAGGTGACCGTGCGGGGCAGGAGGCAGCCTGGCCGTGGGCGGGGGGGTCAGTGGAGGCTGTGGGCGTGGTGCCGGGCGGCTGGTGGAAGATGAGTGCGCATTTCGGGCAGTCACTTTCTGAAGTGGCTTTAGCGGTTGAGTTTAAGGAAGAGGTCTCTTGGCAGAAGGAAAACATTGAGGGAGCTGTACAATTTCCTCCCATCAATAACCCTGAGTTCACAGCTCCCTTCCTGCAGGAGCGAGTGCTCGCGGCCCCGGCGGGCTGTCGGAGAGCTGCCGAGCGCGGGGCTGTCGTCGGTGACGCCCCAGCCCCTTGAAAAGGCGCCCACCTCCTCCCTTACACCGCCACCCAGGAGAGGGGCAGGGTGGCCCTCTGGGCCAGGGGAACGTCAACAACAGAGGCTTGGCCCTTCCTGTCCCCGGAGGCAGACAGCATGGCGGGATGGGGTGCCTTCTGTAAGCGGGGGACCTGGGCCATGAACTTTGGACGAGCCTGCTCTCTTGTCTGGGATGACTAGGTTGGACTGGGGGGAGCGGGGCGCCCCGGTGCTCTGTGCTTGCGCCCGCCTGTGTCCTGCGCCGCTCGCAGGCACCCTGCCCCCAGCGCAGGGAGAGCAGGGGCTGAGTGCCGGCCCCAGGCGGCCCTGCTAGGCCCGCTTCAGGAGCGGGAGGTTGGCGCAGGCCTCCGAGGGGGTGCCGGCCTCAGCTCTGCTGCCCACTCCTCCGTGACTGCAGGCGAGTGTGTGCCGCTCCGGATCTTCACTTTGTTGCCTGCTGACTGCCTGAAGGTTCTTTTTGGCACTGACATCACTGATAAGCCCAGCTCGAGAGAAGGCGCCGTGGGCTGTCGCTGGGAGGGGTAGTGACGGTGATAGGAAGTGGGCCAGGTGGCCTGTGGGGAAATGTTAAGGGAATTTGTATGAATCCTGAGTGACCCTGAGTTTGGCTTTAGAAGTGACTCTGACCTTTGTCCTTGCAGGAAGACATGGCTGCTCACGTTGGAGCTTCCCGGACTCCCCAGGAAGTGATGGAGCATTACGTAAGCATGTACATCCACGGCAACCTGGGGAAGGCCTGCATCCCTGACACCATCCCCAACCGGGTGACAGACCACACCTGCCCCAGTGGAGGCCCCCTCTCCCCCAGCCTCACCACCCCCTTGCCTCCCCTAGACATCTCGGTGGCCGAGCAGCAGCAGCTGGGCTACATGCCGCTGCGGGACGACTATGAGATTGAGTACGACCAGGACGCCGAGACGCTCATCAGTGGGCTCTCGGTCAACTACGACGACGACGACGTGGAGATTGAGCTGAAGCGCGCCCACGTGGACATGTACGTGCGGAAGCTCAGGGAGAGGCAGCGGCGCAAGAACATCGCCCGCGACTACAACCTGGTGCCGGCCTTCCTGGGGAAGGACAAGAAGGACAGGGAGAAGACGGCCAAGCGCAAGATCACCAAAGAGGAGCGGGAGCTCCGCCTGAAGCTGAGGCCGCTCTACCAGTTCATGTCCTGCAAGGAGTTCGATGACCTGTTTGAGAACATGCACAAGGAGAAGATGCTGCGCGCCAAGATCCGGGAGCTGCAGCGCTACCGGCGGAATGGGATCACCAAGATGGAGGAGTCGGCTGAGTACGAGGCGGCGCGGCACAAGCGGGAGAAGCGGAAGGAGAACCGGGGCTCGGCGGGCGCCAAGCGTGGGCGGGAGGACGCCAAGGACGGCGAGTTCGCCGCCATCGAGCACCTGCCGGGCTTTGAGCTGCTGTCCGACCGCGAGAAGGCGCTCTGCAGCTCGCTCAACCTGAGCCCCGCGCGCTACGTGACCGCCAAGACCATCATCATCAAAGACCACCTCCAGAAGCGACAGGGCATTCCCTCCAAGAGCCGCCTGCCGAGCTACTTGGACAAGGTCCTAAAGAAAAGGATTTTGAATTTCCTCACGGAGAGCGGCTGGATATCCAGGGATGCTTCCTGAGGCCCGTGCCCCGAAAACTGCCGCCGTTCTCGCCCTCGTCGGACGGCGGGGTGGGGCAGGAGCCGCTTTTCCCCCTCGTTGTTCTTTTTCTCAGCAGTTTCTTTTTTTAGGATACAAATTCTTTTCATGGTCCTCTGAAAGAAGCAATAGTAACAATCTTAGATCATGGGGGAAACAAATACACGTACATTGTACCTTAGCCCTAAAAGTAATGTGAAGAGGACCGTCTGCCTTTTTGTGTTCGGTGTGGAGACCGTGACGAGGCCGCCCGTTGCCTTCTGTGAGCCCTTCCCTTCGTGCACCGTGGGTGCTGGCCCGCCGGCTGCCGGCCTCCCCCGGTGGCCCGGGCTCCGGCCCAGCCCCGGCACGTGGCACTTTAGATGGGGCCGGCGGGCGGGCGGGCAGGCAGCGAGGCCAGAGGAGGACGGGATGAGGTGTCCTTGGAACCTGAGGAGGAGGTTGGTGGTGAACGCAATGACCAAATGAGCTTCCCCTTACCTGTTGGCAGGGCCGAGTTTGAGCCTGCAGTTCCCGGTCCCTGAACGCGCCCTTGGCCTGGTGCCCTCTGGCCGGGCCCCAGCTGGCTCCGTTTGGGAGCGGACAGGGCGGGCCTTCGGCAGCGCCCCCTGGCGCAGAGAGGGAGACGCGGGGGAGCCGCGCTGCAGGAGGACGGCCCCACTGCCAGGACCCCGAGCCCTTCCTGGGGCAGCTGCGGGTGTGTCCTGCGCGCGCAGGGCCTCGTTTCAGAGCCCCCGGCGGAGAGCCCTGCCTTCCGGGGGAGCGTCTCCCAGGACTTTGATCACAGTCCCCAGGGCCCTGGTCACTGAAACCCTGCCCGGGGCAGCCTGGCGAAGCGTCCTCACTTCAGGGGGCCCCGGGCGCTCTGCAGGTCAGCCAGGCGAGACGGGGCAGCCTGTGCGTCCTGGCTGGGGCCTGCGGCCGTGTGCCTGGTCCCCAGGTCACAGCGGTGAACCAGACTCGGACGCAGCCCCGCCCGGCCCTAGTTTTTCAGGGGCCCGCTCCCATGGTACCTTCCTTTGGAACGTGGGTCAGCCCTGTGTCTCCCGGGCTGCTCAGGGCTCTCGCGCCCAGGACCCGCTTGAGAGCTGGCGGTGGCTGCAGAGCCGGCCGCTGCTCCCGGCCCTTGGCCTGCCTCCCCGCCTGCAGTTCCCCACACTGTACCTCCCGGGGTGTTTGCGCTTGAAGTCACATTAAAGTGAAGTCACTTGAAAGAAAAAAAGGAGACCCTCATCATTTCCAAGGACAACTTAATTACGGTGCCTTTTCCTTTCTTTTTACATCTTTCTGTCCCCTAGGGTAAATTTTTCAGCATTAAATAAAACATTTCAAATGTACTGCTTGTGGCTTCAGTTGTGAAGTACGTGGCGAGCCAGCAGGTGCTCCTGGTCGGCTAAGCCCGGGGCTTCTCTGACTGAGAGGGCCAAGCAGCGGCAGTGCTCCCTCGGGCCACCTCCACAGCCCCTGGGGGTCGCCGTCCGTGACAGCCAGTGCTGGCTGTCACTGAGCAATGAGGGAGACGGTGCTGTTTGACAGGTTTCTTAGCCGGTGCTTCTCACCCGGGGTCCCCAGAGCAGCAGCGCCCGCCGCCCCTGGGAGCCTGCTGGAAGGCGGGCGCAGGCCGGGCCTGGGTCAGACTGTGCCCGGGGCCTGGGTGCCAGCCGCCCGCTGGGAGCCGCTGCCTTTGGTTGCCCTGGTGTCAGCATTCATGGGTCTTCTGGTTTCAGGTGCCTAGTTCGGTTTTAAATTTAGTCTTTTCCATAAAGCAATTGCCCAGCTTTCATTAAGCTTGAGAAGGAGAACACCCCTATAGTCGTGGGGCCTGGGCCAGACAAGAAACTGCTTTAGGCTTTCAGGACGTTTATCTTTTTGATAGTGTGAAGAATTTATTTAGGCTTGACTGTTTTAAAACACCATAATGAATGTATAATTAACTTATGTTGAAGTACTGTTACAAGGGGAAAGTGATTTTCGTTTGGTTTGGTTTGCTTTAACCCCGCCCACTCTAGCTACCAGTGCCACGCCGGTCCTGAGCCGTAATCCCCCAGAGCTAGGGCTTTGCAAAAGCTGACCACCAGCTTTTGAGTCAAGTACTGTAATTTAGCTGTTCTGAATACTCTGCATGGCCAGCATCCCAAGAATGTATTAAAAACAACTCTACCTTTCCTACTGTTTTACTTGCTCAGCAGGTTGAGCTCCAAAGTGTCACCGTTTCTTGGTACCTGCTCCAGGAGCCTCAGCTTTTCAGAGCCAGCTTTCAAATGCGTGGTGGGGGACAGGATGGGACCTTTCTGTTCAGCAGACGACCTTTGGGCCAGCAGTCCACCTCCCGCGAGAGGCACCCCTTGTCAGACCCGTGCTGGCTCAGTCGCCTGCCCTGTACGCGCGCCCAGGCTGCACTTTGGCCAAACCCGGAAATGTGGGGAGTGAACAGCTGGTCTCCAGTGTGTATACACGTATGGCAGGGCCTTGAGTAAGGTGGTTTTGTTATGGTTGAATGGCTCTAGGAACCCAACTCGTTTTTATTGACTGGCCTCTGGTAAAACTGGTTTCATTACATGTGGTTTCCCTTGAAGTTGCAGAACCTACGGACACATGGAGGATGAGCTGTGTACTGTTTGGTGTTTTCCTGGCTAGGGCCTTGCAGCAGGTGTAGCTCTCGTTGAAAAGGGACGACCACACACGTCCATGGGAATTACTTGAAAATGAGCCTTAACTCTGTCTGCTTTCCTCAATGTGTGAGGCTGGGCTGGCCTTCATTCTGGGATGTCTTTGACCAAATAATTTAAAGGAGAAAAATGTCTTGGAATTGTATGAACTGAAATTTTAATCATGGAAATATCACTGATATTTTTCAAAGTCTAAAGCAAAACGACCACCCCGTGTCTTTCATGCAGTAACGGGTTGACCAGGACTGATCTTCGACCCTGGAAGCCCCCCTTAGGTGCAGAGGTGGGGGTTCTTTTTGTCTGTCTGTAACGGACCCGGAGGGGCCTGAGTGTGTGCGTCCCCTTCACAGCCCTTGGGCGGACATGTCCACGCGGAGCAGGCCGGTCATGCCAGCCTGCATGTGTCCTGGACGGAAGCCGGCGCGCCTGCATGCGTGTGCGAAGCGCACAGCCCGAGGTGAGCAGAGGCTGGGAGAGCTGAGCCACGCTGTTCTTAGTGAGGACCCACACGCCAAGGTTCACCATGTAGTTACCAGAAGGTAGGAAAATCAAAACACATTAGGGCTTTAATCCTCTTAAATAAAACTTAAAAACTAAACATTACATTTAGAATTTAGCAAGCACGCACTCCTCGAATTTTGAGAAGTCCATCTTACTAGGGGGAAACCCCTTCAGATCATCAGTGTCTAGCTGAATGTTAAGATTTAAACATTTCTAAAACTAAATGAACAAAATGGTAAAAAAAAAATCCTGTCCAATTCAGTTACTGGCAAAATAAGGTAGTGAGAACTGTTCAGGTGCGCATGCTCACTGCACCCCCACAGAAAATCCGGAAGCCCGCCTTCCCTAGCCACTAGGCAGTAATTATGACTTCCCTACGTTCTTCACCGAGGACGCTTTCTGAGCCGGAACAACATTTGAGCCCCTGCTTGCCCGCCACTGGGTGCAGGGTAGTGGGCAGGGCGTTCCTGAGCCCGAGCACTGCAAGCCAGAAGCACAGGGTGGCCGGGCGCAGCCCAGTAGCCACACAGCATGATTCCCCAAGACCTTTTATTCGTTTAAAATACTTTAAAGTCACCAGAGCAGAAATAGCGTTATTCACGATATTGTAGGGTCCCGTGGTGTCCATCGGCCTGTCCTGTAAGCACGTGAACTATTAAATGTATTGAAAATCAACAAACAGGCTCCCGAATTAAAGTCCAGTCACGCAGCTGTGCAATCGGCCTGATTTCCCGCTGAGCCGCTGGTTACTAAAGCTTTCCCATGAGGTGTGGGGAAGGGCCGAGAGGAGACGAGGCGAACCAGCCTTTTAAGAGTCACCCGCCCGAGCCCGGCAGGCAGCTAAGCCCCCTTCACCACCCCCACCAGGGCAGGCCGCAGGGTGCGCCCGTGCAGCTTGTAGCCCACTTTGTTCACCAGCGCCACCGTGCCCGGCTCCTTCCCCTCCACTGGCGCGTGGAACAAGGCCTCGTGCTCGTAAGGATCAAACTTGGCCCCCACAGGGTCCAGTCTGAGGAGGCCGTGCTTCGTGAACACCTTCTGGATCTGGACTTCGGTCATCACGAGCCCCTCGTAGAGGTTCTTCAGGTGAGGGTTGTCCTCTGAAATCTCTTCTTTGGGAACGGACTGCGTCGCCTTCTCCAAAACGTCCGCCACCTCTAACAAGTCCTTGCAGAAGGCCTGAATGCCTAAACAAAGTTAAAGGAGAACATTTGCATCCCGTCCCTGTCGACTGGGAGGGCAACACAAAACTGGCATTTCAACGGCTTGACTGAAAAAGAAACGCCTTTTGAGTCCAGGTGAGAGGTAATTAGGTACGAGACCAACAGCTGAGAAAAATTTTTTAAAGATTTTACTACTTTTTAGAGATGGGAAGGGAGGGACAAAAAGAGGGAAACAGCGGTGTGTGGGAGAGAGATCAACTGGCTGCCTCTTGCCCCCAACTGGGGGCCCGGCCCACAACCCAGGCCCGGGCCCTGACTGGAATCAAACCGGCGACCCTGGCTTGCAGGCTGGCGCTCAACCCACAGAGCCGCCCCAGCCGGGCCAGCAGCTGAGAATCTGCAGAACCACCCCACCGCCAGCCCCGGGAGGCCGCGCGCTCCATCCGGCGGAGCGGCTCCCTGCCCACGTCACAGCCATGTGCAGGCGCCAGGCAGCTCGGAGCCTGGGGCCGCATCCCTGGCTGTCACTTAGCTACGAGATGTTCTCGGTCAACCTGTGTCTCGGTCCTTCAGGTACAAAGCAGGGGTGGTAACAGTACCTACCACAGGGCCGTTACGAGACGTCGAGTCACACGTGTTCAGAGAGCCCGCACGCTGCAGGCTCTCCGCGAGGGTCAGCCACGGGCAGGCCCTGCAGGTGAGAGCCACCCAGGCACACGCCAAGCTGCGCCTTATCCTCACAGAAGGCAGGGCATGAGGAGAGCCACTCAAGATTCAAGGCAGCATATTACATAATTTGTGAGGTTTCAGAAACATGCCGCAGATACCAAATGGAAGTCAGGGATGTGAGAGCACTCAACTGGCACCCGCCTCCCACCGCGCCGGCCGCACGGGGTGCCTGCCTCGGGCACGCGCGGGGAAGGCCTGCCGGTGGGCTCCCAGGGCGGCCGAGCACACGCGGTGGAGCAGGGGCCGGGCCCCTGCTTACTCGCTTGTGACGCGTGCACGTCATCTACGCCTCAACAGTCTCAACTGCAGAACGGGGAGGACAGTAACCGACAGTCAAAGGTGACAATGCAGACAGCGCTTTAGGAGAACTTAAGCGGTATCAGTGTTACTGCTGGTGATGCTAAGGAAACAGACACCGGCCGGGCTGACCTGTTGGACGCCCCGCAGGCTCAGTGAGGTCTCCGTGGGGACGAGTGGGAAGCGCCCTCCCTGCTGGAGGCGGCACGCTTACAGCTCTGCACGCCAGGCGCAGCTCCAGCCTCTGCGCCTCACGGCCTGTACTGCTGCCCCACCCTAAAAACGGGGAGGGGGCCCTGGCTGATGTGGTTCAGCTGGTAGGCGGGTTGTCCTGCAAACCTAAGGGTGGCAGGTTTGAGTCCCAGTCACTGCTCATGCCTAGGCTGTGGCATCGGTTGGTGTGGCCTGACTAGTTGGAACATCGTCTTGAAAACTGAAAGGCCATTGGTTCGATTCCAGTCAGGCACAAGCCTCGATTCTGGGTTCGGACCTCAGCTGGGGCATGTACAGGAAGCAACCAATCAATGTTTCTCTGCCCCTCCCCCCCTTCTAAAACCAGTAAGCATGCCCTCCCGTGGGGATAAAAATGAAGACAGGGCGGGGTGGGGGGGGCTGTACAAGCCACAGGCTCCCCACCTCCTCACCCTGGGTCATCTCGCTGTTTGATGCTCGGTACGCGCCCCACCCGGCTTTCCGAGCCCACGTCCTTCCAGACCAGAATCCCATGCTGTTGAAATTAGTTACCATATAATTTTGCCTCTTCCACCAATTTTTGGGTCCTCTGCCGCAAGTTCTCAGTATCTGCCAAAGCTCGCTTATACTTTTCCTAAAAAAAAGAAAAAGAGGGAACACATAGGAATAAAGCACAGAACACGTTCATAGGAGAGCAACTGTGACATAACAAACTCCAAGTCAAGACAGAGACAGCACCTGTTGTTACGTGTGAGGTTTGGGACTAGACAGTGCGGCTTAACTTAGAAATGTTACACCCGAATCACCGCTTCCAGCGAGCGCGGAGGAAGATGTGAAGGTGACATGTTTATGGAGCCTCCGTGGCCATTCTTACTCAGTGGACAGCTGTGCACAGAACAAGAAAAACATCCTTTCTCGGGGTTCTTATGGCCTCATCGCTCCTCAAGGAAGGACCATGCACTTCCTTAGGCAGGTCCCCAGCCTCAGGGACGCCTAGCGTTCGGTTAGGGTCGAACCCTGCGGCTCCCCTGCCTGGAGGTTTAGGAGAAGCACAGGCCTGGGGAGGGACAGTTGAAGCCTCTCTCTCATCCCAGGGATAAAAACCCATCAAAGAAACTTTAGTATCTTTACCGCTGCCCAGACGTGACTCAGTTCCAGCACTTGCTGTGTAATAACCCCCTGACTTACGGGAGCGCCCCCCTTTCTCCCTTTAACGCAGCCCCACTCACCCCCCGAGCATCTCAGTGCGGAATGTGCACTAGGTTCCTCTTGGGGGGAGCACACTGCACCCCATCGGTTTCCAGTCTTCACTCAGGCAGTTCCTGCTCTGTGGTTAAGGGCAAAGTCTCCAGGGCTCAGGCCCTGGCCCTGCCGTGAAGGAGCTAGGTCACCTGGGGAAGCCTACTTAGCCTTTCTGTGCCTCAGTTTCCTTGTCTATGAACAGGGATATCAAGTTAACTCACAGGATGGCTCTGAGTGTTAACATACATAAGGACGTCAGAATGATGTCAGCCCATAACAAGCGTTTGACATCGTCACTCCTAAATCCTCATAGACCTGACTTCTGCCCCCTGTACCCCTGTCCTCCCCAGCCACGCCCTCCCCTCAGCCCCGCTGAATCAGCCATGCCAAATATTTCTCGATTGTCAAGCCCATTTTAAGTCTTGGCTCAATATAACCTACGTAGTACGTAAAGATGAGTCCCACAACAGAACCAGAGCCACAAAGGACCTGGGCTCTAGTTCCTTCTTTAGCAGTAACTTGCTACGGGACCCAGCCGTAGTTCTTGGGCAAACGACTGCACTCGCCTGGCGGTCAAGCACCTCAACCAGCTCCCCCGCAAGAGCCCGTCGGCCTTACCACAGCCTCCTTCAGCTGCTCTTCCAGCTTGACCTTCTCCTCCAGGAGGGTCTTCTCTGTAGAGGGAGGGTCTGTCTTCTGCTCACTTTGCCCCACATCCTCTTCCAAGTTCTGGCCATTGTTCTTTTGTAGCTGTGCACAACAGCCGAGTACCAGGCCTGATTCAAAGTCCATACAAGTCACAGGTGTGATTTTTGAAATCTGAGGTAATTAGGACTATTTGCTATTGACTTGTGAGAAAGCCTTTCCCTTGGACCTAATAAAGGCAAGTCATGAATGATGCACAGAAGCTACTTATAAAACCTCCCATACAGGCCTAAACTAGTATGTCAGGGTCCCAAGGCTACGCTGCTGGCCTCCTCTTCTTTCCATCCTGAGTTAGGGTCCTCCACGCCCCCCACCATGTACTGACGGAGCAGATATTATCAGAGGGGAGGCCCAGGGCGGAGGCTGATCACAACGATGAGCAGGGCAGACGCCCCGCCACACAGCACATGATGCAAAGAACTGTAATTCGGGGGTTGAAAGTGACAGAGGAGGAACGATGTGCCTTGGGAGGCTCAGCACAAGTGAGTATTTCCAGCTCTGGGGAACAGAAGCCACGAAAGGCTTTGTGCCTGGAGGTTTAGGAGAAGCACAGGCAGCGGGGCAGCACGGGCAGGTGTGAGGCAGGCGCGAGGAGTGGGCGTGACAGGCCTGCTCCAGGGAGGGGGAGCGCCCGGAGAAGGCGTGGAGGTGGGAAGGTTCGGGGTGAGTTCGGGGCAGGGAAAGGCTTCTAAAACTAATCCTGGAAGTGACTTCACATATCATCCAACCTGATCCCTGCATACAAAAGGTTAAGTAATAAGCCCAAGGTCACAAAGCCATGAGCGAATGACAGAGCAAGTCTTTAAACCCAGACTTCCTCACCAGGACCAGTGCAGCTTTCTTAATTATGCCACAGTCCAGTCTGAAGACAGACGGTGTTCAGGGACAGGAAAGCCGCCGGCACCCAGGAGTACAGGGGTGCTTGCGGCAGGACGGTTTAAAGACAAGCGGGAAACGCCGCGCTCATCGGTAAGGACACGGTCGGATGAACTGCTGCCTCCACGATCAGAACACTGTGCAAGAAACGCAGCACAAAACACGACCCCGTCTGGGCAAAAACCACCCGGAGACCCCGCGTCTGGGGATGTGCGCTCCGGCAGAGAGGAAGGAGAGACCCATTAGTCTGTCACCTGGGGCTGGAGAGCGATAACCTTCTCACTGTATTTGTACCTTCGTGACTTAGGGCTCAGTAACCCGAAGGGCCGGGGCTGCAGTTCCGCTCTCCTGACTCCCCCACTTGAGCCCCTTCCCACAGACATTAATGCGGACTGGTCCTCTCTCCCCTGGCAATTATTTCCAGATGCAAAGCCACAAACTGCTGGAGCACACCACCTTTTCCCCCAGGTATTCCAGGTGGGTCCCTGCCCTTTGATTCCCGTGTTTTGTTTATATAACTTATTAGGGTAGCAGTCATGCCTCAGCCCCCTTTCATCCTCTGCGATCTCGGCCGGCCCGCCTGGGCTCCCCGTGCGCGGCGGTGAGCTCCGCGAGGGAAAAGACCCCTTTGCTCCTGTGACCCCCCACTGTGGTCACTACGCCGGTCTAAATAAACTCCTCTCCCCACGGCGGGCCACGCTCCTCTGCGCTTCTGACCTCAGACTCCGGAAAAGGCGGCGGCGGGGAGAAGGAACTTTTTCCCGGCCGAGTGGAAAATGCCCAGGAACCGCCGACCCGAGCCTTGATTCCAAATTTTCCGGACCAGCGCCGATGGGTATCCAACCTTGCGCGGCCCGGGCGCCCGCGCCTGGTTCTGCGGCGGCGAGGCCCGCGGTTCCGGCGCTGAGGCTGCCTGTGCCCGGGCGCGCGCACGTGGCGACTGTACACTGGCCCGAAGACACGCGTGCGGGGTCAGCGCGGGCCTCGGGCACGCGGGGCGCACCGCCTCTTCCACTCCAGGCCCGCGCGGGCGTCCGCGACCCACGACGCCCCGCTCCCAGGCCAGACCCGGGCAGGGTGGCCCTGAGGACCGTGTCCTTCACCCGAGCGTAGCCAGGCGCCCCTTACCCCCTTACCTAAGAGACAAGGCCAAAGCGGGGAGGCTGCGCCGTGCCAACCTCACGCACCGAGCCGCCATGACTGCCACCCTCGCCGGCACAGCGCACGTCTTAGGCATGCGCGGAAGCCTCCGGCCCGCCCCTCAGGGCCCAGGCAACTCGCGCAGACTCTATGCCTGCTACTTCCTTTCATCCAATCCGAGACCGCATTTCCTCTGTTGGACAGGCCACGATCACCAATAATCATGGGTCACGGTGAGGGGGCGGGGTTTGAGGTTCCTCGCAGGTTCTTGAGGAAAGAAGGTGAGAGTTGAAGGAAACGTTGGGAGGGGAAAAGGGCGTGGTCAAGGGAAGAACCAATGGGGAGGAAGCATAGGGGGGCGGGCAGGAGCGCCGGAAGTGCGCACGTTTGGGTTTTCCATCTAACGTCGTGGGTCTCATTTCTGGTCGCCCTTTGCGCTGGGAGGCGACTTAGGGGCGGGACGGGCATTTGTCCTGTTCCCCATCAAGCCCCGGCTCCTGGCACGCTGCCGGGCACGAGGCGCCCAGTGTTGGGTGAACGCAGATAGTCAGGCTGAAGGCAAAAGCGCCTCCACAGGCACGGGCAGGTGCGGTAGAGGCAGCGGTTCGGGGAGCGCCACCCCCTCAGGCTGTCGCTCCGCGGTGGAGGAGGGGGCGGGTCGCGGTTAGAGCCTCCGTCGCTTTCGGCGACCTTCGTTTAAACAGAAACAGCCACAAAACCCAGGAAGCAGCTGTGACGGAACGTAGTCAGTGCCGGTGTGGGATGATGGGCGGTGTTGGTTTTCTTTACACCTTTCCGTCACCTTCAATTTTCTCGGAGTAAAACACAAAACGGAGCAAAATAAGAACAGGAAAACTTTGGAGAAACAGCTAAAGCTCATAAACCCGACGTTTTCATCCGTCTGACAAAGGTCAGGGCCACTGTGCATGTGCCACGGAGAAGCCGAGGCGCTGGGAGAGAGGGTGCCGCTGGTTCTTGTACCCCTGGGCGACCGTCCCTCCGCGGGGGTGGGGGGCGGCGCTCTGGCCTGGCGCCTGGCTGGCCTGCCGTCCTCTGCCGCGGTCCCCCCCGCCCCGTAGGACGGAGGGCTGAGCCTGCGGTCTCCCCTAAGTTGTAGCGCTGCCTGCATGTCACATTTGCGAGGCCCGAACCTCTGTTGCTTTCCTTTTCTCGCGCTGAATGAAGCCTCTTCCTAATGTTGACCGAACACCTACTGTGTGCCAGAAGCCCAGTCCAGGATTTGGGATGTTCTATGAGAAAAGGCCCTGTTTGTTAATGAATTAAGGGCCTGGAGGAAAAAGCAATTGGGACCGTTTGGGGACACAAGAGCTTGAAGACAGCCCGGTGGGTACTGGGATCACGATAGAACAAACCAACTGAAAAAGACAGTGGTGAGCAGGTAGGGGAAACGTGAATACGAACAAATAATGAGTCGTGAGGTTTTTTAGGAAGAGATAATTACTTGGTGATTAAGGAGAAGTGTCCTATTCGTTTAGAGAGGCAAACGGAAGGATTTACAGTGAATTCCTGCCGTGCCTGGAATGTGCTTTATAAGTACTCTGTAAAAAACAAAAATGAGAAAAGGACAAACACAAGCGGCCAAATGTTGGCCATGGTTCAAGCTGGCTGATGGACACTGGAAGTTTGTATATATTTGAACTTTTCTGTAACAAAATTAAAGAAAGTCACGTTCATTGACTGTGACCGTGGTTGGGCAGGTCGCTAACTTGCTTTTAGCCTTAATAATGCTGAGTTGTACACCTGGGGTCATATTATTTATGAGGATTAAAAGAGATGCAAGTACTGCTTCCCTAACTCTTCCCGGGGCTCAGGGGAAGTCAGAGGGGCGTCCTGCTGTAAGTGGCGCGTGGCGCAGCGAGGGCAATCGGCAGAGCGTCACAGCCGCTGTGTCCCAAGACAAGCAACCAGCGGGCGGCGGGGCCCAGCTCGAGGCCTGCGTCAGTCCTGGCGGGTCCCCAGGCCATTCTCTGGATCCGCATCCAAAGCTGGGATTTCCCCGAGCAGGGGCTTGCCTGTGCTGCCGCCTCGTGGCCACATTGGGAACTGTTCCAAAGGGAGACGGGGCGGGGCCTCCGGAGGCATCCTTTGGCCTGAGCTCGTCAGGCAGCCCTGAGGCCTAGAACGGGATCCCCTCAGTGCAAGCCGTCTGCCCGGGGGATGAGGCTCCCGGTATGGGAGCGTCCTATACATAGGTCCATACACGATTCCTTACGTGGGCCAGACCGCCGAACTCACTTCCGGCAAAGGGGTTGGGTGGACCGGCCGGGGTGCATGAAGACCAAGCTAGACGGCACATGGTGGCCCCTACGAGGACGGTGTGGCTTTTAAAAAGCAAGGCATCCCGAGAAGCTGGTCGTGCAGATGGCTCGGTGGTACGTTGGCCGAGGGTGCGATGCTCATAAAAGCCGCGTGGCGGTGCCAGGCTCTGCTGCTGTCCCCTCGGGACACGCCCACCACGCGGGCTGTCAATCACCCGGTTAGATGCCGCTAAGATCATGCAGGCGGGTAGAGGGAGAGCTTCTGTGTGTTTCTCCCAACTAACCTCAGCTTCCACGCGACTGTCAGGGCTGAAGCTAGAATCTGTGTCCATCTGCCGCTACAAGCTGCTGCATTATTGTTATTATTAGTATCGCTCAACAGGGGCATGTAGCTTCACCCTTTATCAAACCCTGAAATAAGCAAATTGAAAAAAGCAAGCGTGGATGATGGGTGTGGCAGACAGAACACTAAAGCTGAGCCCTTAGATCCCCACCCCCTGGCCGTTCAGTCAAACACTAATCAAGATGCTGCTGTGAAAGGGCTTTGCAGACTTAGTGATGGTCCTGTGCCAAGTGACCTTCACGGAGATTCGCCGGCGGGCTTGACCTGGGCGAGCCCCTGCAAAGCAGAGAGGCCCTCCAGCTGGTGAAGTCAGAGGGCTCCATCGCACGGGACAGGCTCGGGTCACGACCGCCCGTGTGCCGCTGGAGGCGTCTGTGAGGGGGCGTGTGGGCTGCCTCTAGGAGCAGAGCCGGGCCCCCGCCGCCCCCTGCGAGGAAACGAGGACCTCAGACCAGCAAGGGACGGGACCCCAGATGAGAGCCCCGCCTGCCGGCGCCTGGATCCGTGAGGCCCTGAGGGAGGCCACGCCTCCAGCTGCTGGTTACGTCAGATAGTACCTTTCCCTGACTTAAGCCATTTGGAGCTAAGGTTGAAGTATTTGCTGTCAAAGGCCACCTTCACTCCGAGACCGAAGCTCCGAGACTGAAAGACCTGGTCAAGGGCACGCGACTAACAGCGTGTGGCCAGCGATTGGGCTTGGCCTGGAGCATCCACACTAACTTACACAGAGGGCAGTGCCTGAGTGCCCGGTGGCTCGCCCAGCGGGAACCTCCCTCTTCTCTTCCGGAGGGAGAAGTCCAAGATCAAGGTGCCGCAGCCGCTTCCCTCAGGGGGCTGTGGGGGAGGACCTCTCCCACGGCCTTGGGGTATGCTGGCATCTTGGGGTTCCCGGCTTGTGAAAGTGCCCCCAGACCTCTGCCTGCACATTCGTGCGCCTTCTCCCTGTGTGCCCGCCTGTGGCCACATGTCCCCTTTCTATAAGAACACCTGTTGTGCTGGGTGAGGGCCCACCCAGCTCCAGGATGAACTCTTATTCATTGTTCCTGCAGTGAGCACTTCCAAACAATGCCATGGTCTCAGGTCCTGGGGGCTAGGAATTTAACACAAATTTTTTTTTTTTAAATCCTCACTGAGGACATGTTTTTCACTCATTTTAGAAGGAGAGGAAGGAGGGTGGGGAGAGAGAGAGAAACATCAATGTGAAGGAGAAACATCGATTGGTGCCTCCTGCACATGCCCCGACTGGGGATCAAACTCTCGACCTTTCCGTGTGGGGGATGATGCGCCAACCAACTGAGCCTCCCAGCTGGGGCTTAACCCCTAAATTTTGAGGGGACACAATTCAACCCATCATGGGTAGTTATAATTATCAGTCTCGCTGCTTCCTTAGAATTTCTGCCCCACCCCCCCCAGCTCCCCCACGCAGACTGCACCCCAGGGTTGTCCTTGGTCCCGTGATGAGGGGCCCCAGCTGAGGGAGGAGAAGGGCCGGGAGCTGGGCCGCTGTCCCTGCCACGAGCTCTGCCACCGGCCTGGCAGTGTTTCCTCCCCTCCCCCCGGCGGCCCTGCCTCTCGCTCACTGGAGACGGGCTTTGTGGCCCGGAAGTGCTGGCCGCGGGCAGCCTTCCCTGGGCCGGAAGCTACCGTGGGGCAGGAGAGGGCCGGTCACAGGGAAGGGCAGGCCCACAGTGAAGAGGACAGGCGTAGCCCAGGGCGTGAAGACGAGCTGAAAGTCTGTCTCCAGTGGATCCTCTTCCGAATGATTGTGGGCACCTTTCGCCTCTCCAAGTGTGGCCGGGAATCGCTGCAGAGCGGCGCCGGCGGAGGCAGGCAGCGAAGCCCAGGTGCTGCCCAAGAACAGGTTCCCCGAGATGTGCCTGCTGAGCCGGGGTCCTCGGAAGAGGGCGCGCGCCGCTGGCCAAGCGGGTCAGAAGCACCGCGCATCGCCGCCGCGGCGTTGACATGCTCGCCGTGGCCGGGCTCCGCGGGGCCCCGTCCGTCTGTGAACCCTGAGGCCCAAAAGCGCATTTGGGGCAGCCCGTTGGGCTCGGAACATGAGCCCCCGCCTGCCCAGGGGCTGCCCGTGTGCGCGTTTCGGGGTGGGAGGCAGAGCCGTGTCCTGCCATGGGGAGCCGGGCCGTCCTGAGCTGCCCTCCACGTGTCCCCTTGTCCTGCTCCTGGAACCAGGGCGTGACATGGGACAGCCTCTCCCCCACTCAGGCACACCTGTGCCGGGTTCGGAGGGCCGTGGGCCTGGGTTCCAATCTCAAATCTGGCCCGGAACCTTGGACAGCTCATGTCACCTGTCACCTCTCGCCTGTTTAGCTTCTCGCCTGGGAGTGGGACAGCTGGACCCCTCCTTTCAGGGAGGGTGGGGGGCGGTGCCGGTAAAGCCGACGAATGTCAGGCCGGGCGCCGGCGCCCAGGCGCGCCCCGCCCTGCCGGCAACGCGGGGGCTGCCGCCCCGAGACAGAAGTCCGACGCCCTCCCCAA